AGCAACTGCGACCAATAATGTTGTTCTTTACAATTCTTTTATTGACGTAAATCTCCATGACGTCAGGGGCTTTCTTTTATTGGTTAGCTAGTAATTCGGTGAGCGCGAAATTCTTCTTGTAGCCCCAGAAATAAAGTTATGTATTACAAGCGCCTTACGAGATAAATTGACATCCACGTGATGACAATTTGGATGTAATCGTTTATCTCTATTATAGCGGCCTCTTGAAGTGAAATGGGTGTCCGATACTACCAGTTCTGCCATGGCATTTTTTTACTTCAATTTTTTTAACTATTCCGAGTGATTGAACTCAATACACATTTTTTGTGCTAAAAAATATTTTAGTGCAGTAAGTATTGTTGCACTTTTGAAACGAGTTCGATTAACGTTTTTGACTTTGGTTTATAATTGCTCCTCGATGCCTTTAGGTTCACCACCAATGCCTAATTTACCATAATCTGTGTTACTTACTAATTTGTTTAAAAGGATACTCGTTTACTTTTGTGACTTAAGAATACGATTTTTCGTTGTTTGTTGCTCCATGTTGGGTATTCGGCCATTCGTTTCTTTGTCTGATATAAAGTGTTAGTTACTTGATGTTCTGTAGCACCTTGACACAATGCAACCTTTAGTCTTCAGGCGGTTATGCCATTAAATAGCATGCATTTGATTTCGTACTCCATATCTAAGCACTCTTTCCCTGAGTAATCTGAGGACTGAACTGATCCTGCGCATTACACACTTCTGGACTATCTATAGCAGAATTTTTAAGTTTTTCTTTACAATTAGAGCATTGAAGGATTGCTTTTTTGCGTCTTGGTGGTTGTGCTACCTTTAAAGTTTCAGTTATGCTTTGGTTGGTAGGTGTAAAATTAATATGAGGTGGTCTTATTTCCTTAACCGCTTTGTAAACGATAGAGTTGTCTGGCTTTGTCTGTATGTTTACTCTTGCATTTCATACCACCTTTATTTTATACTCCCCTTTTGCAACACCTTCATCAAGAAATTAGACAAAAAAATTTCAAAACTGTCTTTAGAACTTGGTTAAAATATAAATGTTTGTTTGCTCATCAAATTATTACTAAATTAAATAAATTATACGACAAGGCTCTCTGACTTTTACTTTTTTCCAACTATCTTAACACTAATCACATTCTTAGTAGTAGTATAATAGTGGCAGCTTAATAATAGTGAGAGTAGAGTTTTGTGGGGTGATGATAGTGAATAGGAAGTCTATAGGATAATAATAACATTTCATTTCATCAAAAAATATCTTATATGTTGGGAGTTTTAAAGAGTAGTGCCCGTTTTTCACCTAGTCTTAAGCCTCAAAGGTGTATCTTACGAGATACTGTTGAACCTAGGCGCCTAGGCCCAGGTTCAACGGTATCTCTGTCACTTTATGGGATAGATTAAAAGGTAGGCTGAAACTAGTACAAGCCGGCCTGCTTCCGGTGAGCACAACTCTGCACGCGGATGCCTCTAGTTGACTTAACGCGATAATATCGAGTAGCCCCCTGGAAGACGTGCTAGTCGGTTGTGGCGGGCAATATTATAATCGGCGATCTTAGAGTCGCGTGTACTACCCCCCCAAATTAGGTTTTATGAAGTTATTTTCGATTGTTAGTCGTATTATGGTCAGTATCACATGGCTCTTATGAACAATTGTGGAAGACGTGATTTTAACTGATATTATTTGAGTTTGGCGAACCAATCGAAAGGTTCAAAACCTTTATTTGTTTCGTACACAAAAACAACGAGCTTTGAACTTCCTTAGGTCCCAACGGTGTCTTCAATCAAAATAAAATGATTTTTTAAAGTAAAAAATGTGAAGTAACATACAAAATATTTGTCACTGGTGGTTAGTCCACCTCTATTAAATCTTGATAAAAGAAACAAATACAATCAAACTAAAATTTCAAAGTTTCCTACCTTTCCGTCATTGTTGTTATATATTGTGTCTGAATGAAGATGAAAATCTTGTGGCAGTATTATCAGATAATTTGAATTGTGCATGCAAATTGAAAAGAGTATACAAACAGGGTTCAGCGACATCTTACACACATATTTACTGTGCAAAAGCAACACAAATAAATACACATGTAGAATACACGTAAAGCATTTCTTGAAAAAAAAAAAAAAAATGGAAGGTGTTAAATAATATGACTACATTCGGCAGCATTCCTTTATTTGATTGCAACATCACAAAGAAGAATATTTTAATAGCTAGTTACATAATACATTTGTGTAATGATTGGTTGACTACATAGAGAATCTAAAAATGTATGAAGAGTAAAATAATTCTGACAGAATAATCAATTTCACTGTGGTAACGTATTATAAAATAATATTTGTACAACATAGGCGCAGAATAACAAAAGAATGTTGCAACTTTATTAAATGAAATCAGTTTGTTTTGTTCGTTTGAAAAAGAAATTCCAAAATAATAAAATTATATCTAAAATTTCATATTATAAGTACAATAGAATTAAAATAAAACGTGTAAATAAGAGAAATATATATGTCCGAACGTTACAAGATTTACATATGTTTATTATATATTGGTAGACAATTGCAAGCATATCATAATTGAGAATTCAAAGAACATTGTTCCCATCTCATAGCGGACACCACTTCCCTAATACATTGATAACACATTAGTGCACGAATCTATCCCGACGTGTCTATGTAATACCATTATCACTCTTATACTATTCCGACAATAATGCCCACAACAAAATTCGCTTGTGTACGTAAGGCAAATTCTGACCGTCAGACCCCAACTATCACTTAGGTAGTAAAACTATATATCAGCAACATAAAACAAGCCTAGATTAAGTTAAAACTACGTCATTTTATTTTGACTAGTTCTTACAGAAGTCGCTGGTCAGCCGACATCTTATAATTGGGAGGGTAATACATATAAAATTTGACACATGCCGAAAACGACATGGCGGGAAAAAAACTAATATTTCAATCATCTTAAACATTAATGTTTAATTGATGGTTTTTCCTTTAAAAAATCCTAAAATTTTATAATGCTTGATACAGTTCATCTCGCCCTGCCATGACCAACTTCTGCTGTAGTTAATATTATAATTGTATCATTTACCACAACATAAAAACAACGTCTCAATTAAAATTAAATAAATAAATATTACATTACACTAGCTTAAATTACAAATTATTTCATTATAGCACGGTAATTAACAGTATTACCATAGTTTAATAAATTATACTAATGGGCCAAACAGCTTTGTAGGGGCGCTAGCGGACGAGCGATCACAAAAAATTTACAAGTGGTGCCACAAATTATCCCATTTTGTTATAATTTAACACAAAAAGCTAAAGCATATTGTTCCGGGGATGCAAGTGTATTATAGTTGAAAAAAGTTACTGTATTTTTTTTTATTCGGTTATCAATTTAAATATTATTTACGGCAATTAATAACATCGGGTCCCCCTTCAGTATTCCATTACAAAAACTTAAAACTTCTAAATAATTATTTAAAAAAAACTTTGTGAGCAGATTTTTGGTGGCGAAAAATACACTATACGGTCCGGAGATCACCCGAAAATTTAGCATTGAAGCAAATATAACCTGATAGAATATTTTAAGTACATTTAAAATTAAATAAAAAGTTCCCCCAAATACCAGTGTTTGAGCATTTTGAATATTCCAAACTATTTAAAAATTTCCATATAATATTGTTAATCTTCGTACATTATAGATAGACTTATGTGACAGTTTCGCAGGCTTACAATATTTATCCCACTGTCGCCTATCAGGCAGGAAATGACCCACTAGTAGATTTTTTTAATACTATGGTATTGCTGTTTGTTGGATAATTAAAATAATGGATAATAGTAAATAACTTTAAAGATAAATAATAAATGAGATATTTAACTTAAAATCGTGATCTTAAATTAATTTTGCACCATTCGTTGTAACTAACGTAAGAAAAGTGACGTCATGCTTATATGGATATTGAATACGTTTGGTATGTATGAATGGATTGAATAGTATAAAAATCAATATTTGACGCTGTTTCAAACTATAGAAACTTAATTTTTGTTGCCCAGAGGTAAAAAATCATTTAAGACTAATAAATGTTTGCTGTGTTATTTAAAAATTAGAAAACCCAAAAAAACTACATTGGGGAATTATGTACATTATATAAAAACTTTACTTAAAGAATTTTCACGCGTAAGTCATAAGAATTATCCGGTTCGATATCATTGGCATTCATATATATATATATATATATATATATATATATATATATATATATATCATTTCATAAAAAATTATAGTAATATAAAAAATAAAATATTGTGATGTAGATGATAACCACAGCCCAAACTGTAAACGGTCGGAAAATATGACATGACCTTCCGCCTAAGATACATGTTATTACATTAATTATTACAAACATTTGAGATATTATATCTTAATCTATACTAACTACTTAATATCACTACTAAAATGTTTTATTTGGTGGTTATAATGTTGTACGTTATTACTAGATGAGATTAAGCATAGAAATGGTCATCGAGGTCAACTATTATTGAATGCAGACACGATGACCAGACCATCTACATTTACCAGACGCTATGACATGAGCGAATAAAAATACATAGAAAACACTCAGAGGATCTAAGCGCAGGGTATTAACCAGATAAGCACACATATAAAAATTGTGAGTAACGTGTAAATTAGTGTTACAAAAGTTCATGAGGTGCCGTGCACTGCTTCCGTCAGAATTGTCGTGCGGCTGGTGTATGCACGACAACGCGAGCGAAATGGCGCGACCCCAGCAACGATGTGAATAGGTGACGGGTGAGTTTTCAAAATGGCGGCCGTAAGACGAACACTGTGTGAAACTTAACCGACTCCCGCTACGCGCTACGCAAACTAACAATCGGATCGCTGTCGAAACTTAATGTATAAACGTGGGCACTGCATGCATCTCCGCTAACAGGAACGAATTATTACACTACGCCCGTTTACTGGTGATGCATCGTGGGATGGAGTTGCGCGGCGGTTGAACTGTTGCAACGCCTGGGGGGAACGTCACGGGAGGGGAGGAGGGCGGTACGGGTGTTAAAAAGTGCGGCTCGAACCGGTGCTCGCATTCGGTGTGGGACCGCGGTGAGGAGCGGACCTATTGCACAATACATCGCCAGTACAGACGGCCTTTTCACTGTGGCGACTTACGCTTTGTGGGGCGTCGACGGCTTCGTCGACGTGCACACGTACACGTAGTCCGACTCGGAGTCGAAGCGTGGACGGCGGGCCTCATGTTAGGCGGTTGTCACCTGCCACACTATCAGGTGGCTCTTGGTGGCCCTCTCCGCCAGGGAGGAGGCCCCGCTTGGGGGCCCGTCCTCGGCCACCACCACGCTGTCCTCCATTTCCGAATCGGCTGCAAGAGTAAGCTCAGTTCAAAACGCCGCAAACGCGCCGAGCTAACGTGTCGCATATTGATAGCGACGCCCTCAATGGCGTCAGTTAGCCAACGCGCGGCGTTAAAGCTACGCTGCAAAAAGGCAAACTGGTACGTTATGATACATGACATACTTTATTGATTGTACAGAATCACATGAGAATGTCACAAATCTATCGGGTAACGTATTAATGTATATACAAAGTAAAAATAAACGTCCAAGAAGCGGAAATGGAAATATTCAAACTTAAAAAAAATATATACTCCATCACGCTCCTTTTACGTTTCAGTACTGAAAATTAGCAATATACACGTTAGCGCATACAAATAGTAAACACAGAATTTGCTATAACAGAAAAACGAATTGAAAGAATGTTAGCTTACAATTCGTAAACATAATAGCTAGCATATGAGATAGAACATATACAGATGCCTGAAAAAATCTAGGAAGGTATGTTGTCATTGGCGGGGCACGTGTAAACATGAAGTTGGAAAGGTTAACTGCCTCATCGAACAAGATGTAAGGCTTCTGAATGCCACAATTTAAATTAATTAAAAGTGACTGTATACATCAATGTCCTAAGCTGTTCAAAGAGATTAGTGCCACCAATGGGCCCAAGCCACATAAGCCACCGCTGATCGGATACAGCCCCAATGGACCGATGATACGCCAAAGTGATTTGCTACATGCATTTAGTGACACATGGGTTAGTTCAGCTTATAATATAGGAATTAATCGTGTTACGTGTGACCCCAAGCGTCATGCTCACCGTGTCTAATATTCAAACTCGACGTACCGTTTCTTACATAGACCGCGATATTTTGCTTATATCCTATCAGGTACGTTCACGGTTCTCTTAGTATCTGCCATACAATGAGATGGGAGGCAGTGTCTCGAACATCGTCGGCATGCTCCTCTAATGATGAATAAAAAATAAATGAATAAAGAACTTGATAGAAAAGCCTAAAAGATTTTGCGATAATGTTGCGATAGTTAATGTGAATGTTGAACGTAACTTGTGAAGTTATTACATGTTAGTACACACAAAGCAAACCTATAAAGATTGTTATAATAAAACTTTACTTTCTGTTCGGATAAGAGTACACTCAATTCGAAGACAAAGTGCTAAAAGAACGGTTATATTATTATTATTAATAATATTTAAAACTCATGATTCACATTCCTTAACGTTCATTTTTAAAACCTTTCCCCCAGTCGACGAACGATAACCCTTCTTAATTATTTCTCTCCACTATTGAACAACTTACTGGTCCCGACAGCCCAAGCTTCTACTTCTATGTTTCAGCATACAAAGCGCAGTAACTGCATAAATAATGTCAATCGAAACAAGCTAAGCCTCAACAGTTTACGTTTCCGTGCAACTAATAATCGGGATAGTATTGATCTTTACTCGTAAAAACTTCACATAATGATATCAAGATGTCGCCATAAATTTTGCACATGTACGTATTCCGTGTTACTCAGCCACAAATATTGCTATGATGGAAAAATTAATTGGAACAGAGCATTATGATTAAGTTTTATGACCATTTGGTCTCTTGACCAGATACAAACTTCATGACTCAAGACATCAGTTGATATCATTAACTTTAAGTTATAACGTTTTCTATACTTTGTTCCGTAAATTCCATTTGATGTACATTATAAATCTTACAGATGAAAAGATTTTTTACACGAATATTATGCACTATAAAATTTACCTATTTTTATGAATATTAAATTTAGTTTTCTATTACTAATTCTGATTCCTAAATAATGGAATATTCATGGTCATGGTACGGAATGATTGTTCAAAATTAAATTAAACAGTATGTTTAAAGTAACAACTTTTTTCAGCTGCTATTGTTAGGAACAAAAAATATCAATAATATTTAATTAAAATGATATGTTAAAATCGTTGCATGTAGATATTTGTCTACGATTATGAAAAAAACATATATTGTGAAATGAATAAAAACGTTTGAATATTTAAAATTTCAGAAAGATTTATATATTAAATATTTAAATTGTTTTTTTTATTACATTATAATTGTTGAGTACTGCTGAAATTTACATTTTGCCTACTTTGTAAGTTGCCTGTATTATATAGGGAACAAATTTATTACTTATCACATGGGCAAATGTTTGGCAGAAGTATAAACAGATAAAAAAAAGTTTTTTGCTTGAAAACTTTACACGTGACAGAAACGGTACGCGCAGTCTCCAATCATCGAAAACACTACATTATATTACTAGCTAAGTAGAAGCTACAGCCCGAAAACTATAAAATACCATTCGTGTTTAAGACTTTTACATTTTTTTTTTCAACATTTATTTCAATTGCAGTTCGAAACGGGGCTTTGAAGTTTTAATTGGGCGATAGACCCGTACACAGTACTTTACGTTGTACGCTCCTAGAAACGATATTATAATATTATAAACGATTCAAATTGAGCGATACAAATCACATTTTATTGCATTCGTATCGAAATAAAAAAAAAGTCCTCAACATTATTCCCGTAAGTGAATCAAACGATTACGAATCGTTGCGACATTAAAAGGGCAACCCACCTATTCGGAAGTCGATGTATCCCTCCCCGCCGGATATGACGAGCATCGGTGGGGGGGCGGGGCTGTGGCAGCGGGGCGACTCGGGCGTGCGGGCGGGCGAGTTGGCCACCCCTGGCACGGCCACGAAGAAGGTCACCGCGTCCCGGTGCCCGTGGAAGCTGAGCTGCGCCTGGGCCATCGAGCACCACGGGATCACGCCCGTAGGACTGCTGGGGCGCGCTAGACCTGCGAGCGGTTCCACAAATGGTCACGGCTGCTTACCGCATCCCGGGACAGTGCGACGCGGCATCATCCGCCGTAGCACAAACGGGTACTTTGTTCCGAACGCCCCAATTAAATATAACTTCAAAAAGAAAGAATATAACGGAACCCATATATTTTCTATTTAAAAAAAAAAAACATTGCCCCTACTTTAGGATATCATTAACGTGTGTTGTAAGGACGTTTTACAAACATGAATTTCACGCGGACAAACACCCAGATGCGAAGCAACTATTAGCGAGTCACACAAATAGTTGTCCCGTGTGTGAATCGAACCCCTGACGACGACGCCAATACCTTGACAACTGCGCCACGGAGTCATCAACTATTGTCTATATTTTAATGTAAAACGTTGTCCAACAAGCGGGCGGTTCACCTGATTTTAAATGAATACAGTCGCCCATGGACATCTGCAACACCCAATGCGTTCACGTTTAAAAATATGGGCCCCGATTACCTCACTAGTCAGACGAAACGCAAAAGTTTAATACTTTCACTTTACGACGGTCTTTCGTGACGCCGTGGTACTTGCCCGCACGAGCCCGAGCAACAGCCGAAGCTGTTGCGTGGCCCTACCATAGTTAAAACTACTATTACTACTACTTTTCAATACTTCGAATTCGAACCAAGAAACTCGAAACAATGATGTTTTAATAATAAGATGAGTCATCCATACGGCGTGATGTTTAAAAATTGTACCTCTTTACGTTATATGACATAACGCATATAATGTAAAGCGGAATACACACACACACGTGTGACATAGAACGTTTGATACGGAAAGATAGCAACTCTATAGAATTGGCCCCAATTGGCGTAATATGAGCGGCTCAGTTTCGGTGCCTTAGTGCGATATCCACCCCGTATTTTTTTTTTATGGAGAAAACGAACAGGAGGCTCGTTTGCCCCTTCATTCGCATTATATTAATATCATACCCTCGAAAAGTATACTGCAAAGACAAGTGCGCACCTGAACGGGCCGATGCCCCCGCGCCGGTGTCCCGACTGGCGCCCTCTGTGAGCGGCACCGAGATGACGACGCCGTTGCTGGTGCCGATCCAGAGGCGGCCCGAGCTGATCAGCAGCGCCGTGATCCTCACGAGCGAGAAGCCCAGCTTGCCCGTGCCCAGCATCTTGCTCACGTACGGCTCGATGTCGACGTCCTTCAGGTGCTTGTAAGTGTGCGCGTGGTACAGCCGCAGCGCCGAGTCCATTTTGATCGACACCTAACATCGGCATTGGATTCATTAGCCACTGTACACAATACTATGGGCTGTATACTAAACTATTTTATTCGTCAGACGGTGTTGTGGGCTCGGTTCCCGCTACTTTAAAAATATTTTACGATCACATACTGCTTGAGATAATTATCCGTCACCGATGTAAAGGTAACCAAAACAGGCCCTCAGTGATCCTGGCGAACTTCAGAGCCGCGTTACCATTTTATGCGGTCTTTGATTATCGATATACTTACAGCTATTGAAAAATTAATGTGGTGCTTAGGCATGCCGCTGTAGTAGCTCCGTTTATGTATGCACTAATTTAGCTATTCAGCAAAATACTGATATGAGGGACAGTACCCTACGAATAAACATCCAGATCTTGCACCTTTTAGCGCTATCGACCATTTGCCGGCTCGATTAGCGTGGTGTATACTGTAAACGTCTCTTTCGTCATAGGGTGTGGTTTCGATTACTGCTACTTTAAAAATATTGTATGATCACATACTGTTTGAGATACACACATTAGAGACGACCACACCTTCAGGGTCTTCAGCCGACTGTAAGACCCTCAGGTGAGTCACAATCACAGATGGGGGGCTTACCCAGACGCCGTCGCCGTCACACGCCATCTGGCGGACTTGGCTCTCCTGCCGAGGGTGCGCTTCGAGCGTGTGCAGCACCAGCCGGGAGCGAGGGTCCACCACGTGCACCTTGTTCCGGTACCCGCACCACACGGTGCATCCAACCGCGCTCAGGCAACGAACTGACCATCAAATCGTTTAGATAGTAGTAGATGTATTGAAATCCATTGGTAGATTTTTTGTTGACGTTCAATAACAGCCTAAGATAAGCCTATATTGAAAAAAGATACTTTGAATTTGACTATTATTTTTAACCGACTTCAAAAGGAGGTTCTCAGTTCGACTGTATTTTTTTATGTTTGTTCCCTCAGAACTTTTGACTGAGTGAATCGATTTTGATGATTCTTTTTTTTTTTTATTTAATAGCTGGTGCTTCCCATTTGGTCCCATATTAATTTCATTGGTATTGGATCTTGGGTTCCTTAGAATACATAGGGAAATTAATTATAAAATGAATACAGAGCGAGATATTTGAAGTCGTTTTGTTTTTCGTTAGTAAAATAATTGTTATTTTTATATTATAAAATTCCGGGCCATAGCGCACTCCTGGGCACAGGCCTTCTTTCTACACAGGGTATTAGGGCGTAATAAACCACGCGGCCCTACTGCGGCGGACTTCACATATATCTCAGAAACATTTTTTGTTATTCAAAAATATGCAGTTTCCTCACATTTTTCTTCACCGTTGAGTAAGTTAAACACATGAAATGGGACTTTTATTGGTTCCGGCACCGGGGATCGAACTCGGGTTGCTCGACTATAATGAATTAAAAACGAGCGCCCGGATGAGCTATCATGGCTATATAAAACTATATATAAATCTAATAAAATACACATTATCATCGATTCTCATGTGTGTGTTGATGTGCCTACAGACAGATATAGTTATTTCCATAAACTTCCATGTTAGTATAATTAATTTTAAGTACCGATGTCGGAATTATCGTAATGGCAGTAGTCTTTACTATTGCATACTCTTCTGTAAGATCTCTGGTGAAAGTAGAAGAGGTGCACATATTGCTGAATATAATAACATATATTATTCAACATAGTTTAAGCCCGTAGAACCGCCGCGTCGAACTGATCTCGATTAATATTAGTTAGTTCTATTACATTTATAATAGTACAACATTATTGAACATTCTATTCGATCTAGGCGGATTGTTGGCTGTGGTGTAGCACGTACCGGAGCATTTGGGGTCCCCAAGCGTTAGGAGCCAATATTGGGAGAAGTCCCACTGTCCGTCGGCCAAGCGGGCGAATATGGCCACCGTGCCGTCCGCCAGGGCCACCATGCAACGCGACGCGCACGACACAATCGACAGGATCGCGTCGTTTAACTTCACGCTACGATTAAAACAATAACAGGTTAATAGAATGAAAAACCGGCCAAGTGCGAGTCGGACCCGCGCACGAACGGTTCCGTACACGTCTGTTGAATCGGAGCCCCGCTTAAATATTTCTTTATTCTAGTTTTTAGTATTTGTTGTTATAGCGGCAACAGAAATACTTGAGATACAGCCTGGTGACAGGCAGACACCGGAGTCTTAGTGGGCCCTTTGGATAGGGAACCCAAAGGTAAAAGAAAACAATGTAGATAAAATGCGTTGAGATTCTCGTTGGTGTGGCAATCTTAGTGGTTAAGGATCTGGGCGCGAATATTGAAGATGGGGTTCGATTCCCGGAAAACATTTCATCCGTTTTTTCTAGAAGTTTTAATTTTTATCTTAAGTGGAGAGATTACCACTATTCTTTTTGTAACAGGCAAACACTAAGATCAGAGTTAAGATATTATTCACTTTACCCTATAATTATACTAAGTGGGTTGGAACCTATTTTTTATATTTATTTAATGATACACTATTAGCAGCTTAGAACGGTGGCTATAGTATCTTGAAATTTTGGCAATTTTGGCTCTTTATAAACTTTGGTAAGTGCACCCTATGGACACTGTTTTTAAGTCTATATGTTTCAGTGAAAAGTGGAATTTTGAAGAAAAAAAATAAACTGCTATTAAACACATGACTTGAAGTGAAATACTATATCACCGTATATGTGTACGTACAATCAAGAGTTATATTGTTAGTTATACTGAATTTGAGCCAATTCCTAAAACTCAACTTAAAAGAGGATTGTGTAAAATGACCAAAAAGGTATGATTATTATCAGAACCAGCAATTCCGCTATTTTCTTAATGAAAGCATGCAACTCTGGGGGGTCTGAGGGTCTATCAAGCTCATGGAAACGTACGCTCTCCACAAGCTCTGTGCCCGACTAAGCTTTATTTAGTCTACGGACTGAACATGAAATTTGTCATGACAAAGAAAATACCTGACTCGAGATACTCGGAGGTAAACAGCATTATGTGATAAATCACAAATTTTACAGGAGAGGCAAAAATGTGTGAATGAATCCTTGAATGCATGATGTAATATAAGATTGGATATTTTATTGATTAGGCGTCGTAGGACTTAATGCTTTATACTATTGTGTAGAATTTTTTTTCCTTCTCAGGCGATTTTAAGCGTGTTAAAAAATTATTTTGAAAGAGTTACTATTGTATGCATATACACCTCCAAAACTTTTCGGATTATTTGTTACTATGTGTTAAGTCGATTTTGCATTAGTCTTTCCTAAGGAAAAGAGACTAATAATAGTCATTCTTAACAAAGAGAGAAATGATTCCATTCGAGGTAAGAAAACTTATTTTCTGTAAACCACAAATAAATCCTTTTTCGACAGAGCATAAAAATATTATATGAATACTAAAAAAAAACTATTGATATCAGTAATGTGGTATAAGTTGTTTAGTAATACTTTTAATTTTATCTGTTCACATCACTTTTTGGATTACGAATAATAAGTGTCCTTATAGTGACGGGCAAACAACTTGAGCTAATAGTTTAGCTCTTGGTCACTTTAATGCAACCAATCGCGTTGTCTTGCGGCCAATTTTCCTTGCTTATTATATCGGGATCAAAGTGTGTGCATTATTCGAGTGGTGTGCCGCTCGCTACGTCGATGTGGACCGCACCTGGAGAGGCATTTGCTGTAGTTGCCCATGGCGGAGTGGACGTATAGGCTGCCGCTCTTGGTTCCCAGCCACATGGTCGCCATCACGGTGGACATCTTGCGGTCCAGTGCAACGTCGCAGCGACTCTCCGCGTTCGACTGCTCCTGCGCGAACGCATCCACAGCGGGCTCCGGCGATGCGCTCCGTTGCTCTGCGAAACGTACCAAAGTAAATGGAACGGTCTGTACGAAACGTACCAAAGTAAATTGGACACCTGTACGAAACGTACCAAACTAAGTGGGACATCCCATACGAAACGTACCAAAATAAATGGGACTTCCGGTACGCAACGCACCAAAGTAAATGGGACAACCTGTACGAAACAACCTTACAATTTACTCATTTCTCTTCGCGAGAGTGTAATTAAAGATTGTTATAATAAATTCAAGCAGCGTGCAGTATACCACTTACAAAAACAACCTAAATACTTCTGGAAAGATTTCAATACCAAAAAGTCTAACAACACCTCAATCCCAAATGAAATATGTCTTTACGACAAAACTGCAAAAGGGGGTAAAGAAATATGCAACTTATTTGCTGAGTATTTCCAGCCGGTGTACGGAAGTAATAATCCAGGAAATATAAAAAGGAAACTATTGAAAACCATAGCACACGATAACGCATCAAACAAATGTTAGGGGTCTGAAGGTATTAAAACATTCAAAAGCCCTAGATATTGTAATAAAGGTTCTCCCACAGAATTTCTCCCATCGATTTTCTTTGAAAACTGTGCAGAGTATATTTAAACCCTTTATGTGGTATTTTTAAGGAATCTCTATCGTATGATATCTTTCTTCAGTCATCGAAAATTGCCGATATTAAACCAAAACACAAATCTGGTGAATTGGACAACGTGACACAGTTAAGACCAATTTCTCTGTTACCCAACTGTGCTGAAGTATTAGAGTCACTTGTACATAAAATGATATTACCTCACATCAAAAGTCAAATTAATTTTACCCAACGTGGTTTTTTACCATATGGATCTACTGCATCTAATCGTGTTAGTTATTTATCAGATATATACTGACTTCCATAAAGCCTTTGATGCGGTAAATCACGATTTACTCTTGGTCCAGTTGAATTCATTGGGAATATATCGTACACTGCTAAGATGGTGTGAGTCTTACTTGCGCGATCGTTCTTAGCTCGTAGATATTAAAGATTTCAAGTAATAAGTCCTAGTGCCCAGCCATCTGAGGTTCCACAAGGTTCTCATTTGGGACCATCATTTTTATATATATATATAAAAAACAAATTTTAAGATGTATGTAGATGACCTAAAATTTATTAAATTATTAGGAATGACGACGACAGTTTGTTTACAGCACGATCTTAACCAACTAAGCGAGTGGTATAGCGAAAATATTCTGACAGTAGACGTTAGCAAATGTTACCACATTAAGTTCACTAGAAAAAAAGGCCATTTCAATTACATCCATTCAATTCTAATTCTTGGCAGTCTATGGGGGAGGCCTATGTTCAGCAGTGGACTCAAACAGGCTGAAATGATGATGATGAATTCTAATTCTACCGCATATTCCATAAATGGGTTAGCTCTATCGGAAGTAAACATTATTCGTAATTTGGGAGTTATTATGCATCACATGACCACAATTATCAGACTTTATAGTACGACAGATGAAAATTTTCAATAATGCTAAGTTAACAATTCACATTTATAATTCGCTCGTATGCAGCATATTAGAATATTTCTGCATTGTCTGTTTAATTTTTAATGAAATAGTTAATTATAATCCTGTTTATGCAGTTCACTTCGATAGAATAGAGCGTGTTCAAAAGCGTTTTCTTTATCATATTACATACAGAGAAATTAAATGCCGTCACCTAACTTCAGTTTTGTAGACATAATAAGAAAAAAAAAACATACCAAAGTAAATTAGACACCTGTACGAAACGTACCAAACTATATGCGACATTTTTTACGGAACGTACCAAAGTAAATGGGACTTCCTGTTCGAAACGCACCAAAGTAAATGGGACCACCTATACGAAACATACCATTCTAAATAGGACATGCTATACGAAGCGCACCAAAGTAAATGGGACATTATATACCAAACGTCCCAAAGTAAATGGGACATCATGTACCAAACGTATCAAAGTAAATGGGACATTATGTACCAAGCGTACCAAAGTAAATGGGATAATCTGTACGAAACGTACCAAAGTAAAAAGGACATCTGTAGGAAACGTGGCAAAGTATATTTCATTTCACTTTTTAAACATCCCTGTATAGTAATCGAAATATCGCGAATTCGAACCTAATAAAAATAAACATAATCATAATGATTGTATTTACCAATACGATGTCTACTCTACCACAGATTTAATGATATGAGACTTTGCTGAACTTTTTATTCGATTGTTCACATTTAATTCTATTCGATAGTAAATGATAAAATCATCAAACTTGTTATTATTAATATGTGTGTTTGAAGTTGAATACGCAAGGAATGTGCCTACACTGTCGTAACAAATTAATATTTATTTGAAACTTACCCGTTTGATTGATGGGCGTGGAACTTAGCGGTGGGCTATCGGGTGCTGCCGAGTCGGCTTCTTCCACATCCTTCACTTTCGACTCCTTCGGGGCATCTTCTTCCTGCTGAGGTTCCTCTTTAACGGGAGTTGGAGGTGGTGTCAGTAGAGTCGCTTGCACCTGCACAGTTATTAACGTTGTAACGACTACTGCAGGAGTACAGTCCTCTATTTGTAAAAAGGTGGGCGGAAGGCGAAAGGACTAAATAAAATTGAGGCTATATCATAGTATCTACAATGCCCACCAAAGTATGACCTTTCATTTATTGAGATTTGTTTACCAGCCGTGTACTTCCCACGACGACCTCCTTTTCCGAGTTTTCTCCGGCGCCGTTAGCGTTAAGCGTAACAGGGAGACCGTTGTTTTGGCTCTCCGTCGACTCGCTTTTGCCCACGCAGAACAGCGATTGCTGAAAGTGACAAATGGGGATTGAATAAGGGTGTCGTGTTTGAAGTCTGACATTTGCACGTCAAATTTGACAGGAGTGACGCACCGAATGACGTTTCCCCTCGTTCTCGGACATGCGCTCCTCGTACTCGCGGTAGTCCTCCGCCTCTGCGCCGGGAACGGACGCGACACACATGATGTGCTTGTCGCTCACCGAGAAGGACTCTATCACTTCCGCCGGTTTGTTCGCGTCAATGATCTGGTTCGAAGTACGACACGCTTATTACACTTTAACTATACAAGTTACAATATTAGTGTTATTCAAACATTTTCATTATTTCATCTATTTAAATCAATTGCTTAAAAGAAGAAAGTATTGTTTGGTAAGGTCTCTAAAGTACAAGCTGGAAGAACACAGAAAAAGCTTTCAATTGAAAATTATAGATTTTGTTCCGATATTAATATGTATATAGATATAAGTTATTAAAAACAATTACAGAATACGCAATTGAATACATTTTTAATTTAAACCCTTAGTCCGTTGATACGAGAACACGTCATGCAAGCCTTTTTGAATAATAAACGCCCTAATAAATTGCCACTCATAAAACTTACCATAACAACTCCTTTAGTCTGTGTACTAGAACAAATCCAGACGAGCGATGACAAATTCTTCTCAGAATGCTCCACGCTTTGAGTGGACTGCAGTTGTCGATTGATCTGCTCCACTTCCGGCGAATGCACGGACTGCGCTTTGCTCATTTCGTAGGCTGTGGACAATTTATCAAATGCAACGGAAACCATTTTAATATTTCACAGAACACTCAATACTGTTTTTACAACTATCTATGTATGAGAGCCAACATGAAGTATAAAATAAAAAGAAGAGCATACATTTGTGTATGTACTCAAACATTCACGCTTTAACTGTAATACGACCGATAGATTCATCGTTTCAGATAGATTCATCATTTCGTCTGGGGACTGGGGTAGCCGGGGCTCACTTCATTTATAGGTGGCAACGCATCTGCAAGCCTACGAGTATTGCAAACGTCAATAATGGGCAGTGGTTATCACTTAAAATCAGGTGAACCAACAGCTCGCTTGCCATCGACAAGAAACACAAATAAGGGTTTACCGAGACACATGGCGTTGTCAGATTTATCATCCTCCTTTGCGTAGAACACACTCTCGCCGATCATGCAGCCGCCGTCCGGAGTTCGACCCCCGGTCAGGTTCACAGCGGCCGCGCACAGCAGCTTCATCCGGGGCTCACTTTCTGCTATCGGTCTGCGGATAAATTCAATCTTTGTATATAGTTATTAAGACGGGGATTTGCGACATCACTAGCTTCACTTGGTAATGGTAATATTTTTGGTAGAGATGTCAAATTATGGAACACATCTGCTACATCATCATCATTTCAGCTACATCATCGATTTGAGTCCACTGCTGAACATAGGCCTCCCCCACAGACTGCCATGATCCTGAGCCACCTGAATCTAACGACTTCTCGCACACTTTAGTCGACCCACACTGCGATGGCCAATAAGAGGCTGACATTCGAAAATCTTTCTTCCCCAACGGTCATGGGGTTAACGAGCTATATATGGCCGGCCCATCGCCACTTCACCTTACAACTACTGAACGACGTTTACTTTTGTTCTACTGCGGATGTATTCATTGCGAATTCTATCACGCAGAGAAATACCGACCTCATACGGTCGTCAGCGAGGGGCCACGTCTCAATTCCGTTTGTCATCACTGGCAACACGCATTGGTTGAAGACTTCAGTCTTCAAATATTAAGCTATAGTCGACGAGAAGATTTGCCGAAGTTTCTACATCGTTTGGGAAACTTCGGCAAAACTTCTTGGGTAATTCGAGTTGGATTCGATTCTGCCATGTTTTTATTTGTCGTTGGCAAAAGAAGGTGGGTGATGTATTGGCCATTGATGTTTAAGCCACGCCCTTTCCAGTCCAGAAGCTTGAAAACATCTTCCAATCAAGCGGTGAAGAGTTTCGGGGATATGACATCACCCTGTCTTACACCATTCTGCAGTTGGATAGGTTTCGTTCTACTGGACTACAATTGGACGGACATCGTAGCCTTGTCATACAAACACCTCGGCATCTCGATATAACGACCGACGGTCAGTTTGGCACCGCTGGAGGGCCTGGAGTACCGCCCAAATTTCGACAGAATCGAAGGACTTCTCATATTCCACACACGCAAGACATTACTGCAGATTAAACTCTTCTGCTTTCTGTATAATCTGCCGCAGTATATATGTGGTCTGGTGGCTATGGCGAAGATTTTTGAGCCAAGGTTCCGTGTATTGCTGCTTCAATACGAGCTGTATTGAAGTTGCCGCAAGTCTCGCCGCATACCTATATTTGGAAATCTGCTTATTAAGTCACCTGTAGTCTGACATTTGATTGGGATTAGCATATTATATTTGTTACCATTATCAATTTTTAATTGTGGTGAATTTAGTTCAAAAAAATGGCCTACCCGCCACCACTTGGGATACATATTCAGAAGGAGAGGTAAATTTAGTTCAAAACTCTATGAGTCGATATATGCTCAATATTTATACAACAATCATCATTTCAGCCTGTTTGAGTCCACTGCTGAACATAAGCCTCCCCCATAGACTGCCATGAAGTACGATCCTGAGCCACCTGCATCCATCGACTTCCCGCACATTTGCATAGGTCGTCACTCCATCTAGTGGGGGGTCGTCCCACACTGCGATGGCCGGATGTTATCGGTTCTACGAGCTATATGGTTTCCCGCTATATGCTATGTAGTTTCCCGAACGCTGCCCGTCCTAGTTGGATTCACCGATTGACCTCTACGTCGAAGTTGGACTTACCTAGCCGGACTAACTGTCCTAGGTAAATGTACTCGTCAACAACTCCGAGCTCAGTGCTCCCAACAACAACCGTTATTGGCGTGACATGGACATTAGACATGATCTTCGTCATGTCCGTATTCATCTTAAGGCCCACCCGTTGGGAGACACTGTTGAGGTCTTTGAGCATAGTACCAAGGTCCTCCGGCGATTCTGCCATGATGACTATATCGGCGGCCAATCGAAGGTGGGTGATGTATTCGCCATTGATGTTAATACCTCGTCCTTTCCAGTCCAGAAGCTTGAAAACATCTTCCAACGCAGCGGTGAAGAGTTTCGGGGATATGATATGACCCTGTCTTACACCCTTCTGCAGTTGGATTTTTGGTTGATGTTCGGCAGATTGGAGGTTTTGTACTACTGGACTGTACTTGGACGGACATCGTAGCCTTGTTATACAAACACCTCAGCACCTCGATATACCGGCAGTCAATTTGGCACCGCTGAAGAGCCTGGAGATATACAACAATATATTTATGTAATCGATATCTAGCTTCTAAGTCTCATGGACAAAAAATCAGCTCTTTATTGTACTGTTATTTATTAACTAATATTCGGGTTTTCTTTCATTTAATACCAGTACAATATTTTTCCTTTTTCATTTTTCATTTTAACATTTTTGCATAATTTGTAAAATTTTGGTTAATACAAAAATTAAATTCTTATAAATATTGATGAAATTAGCAAACGAACTAGACACTTTTGGTACAACACGAAAGGGGATTGCTTATTAATCAGTGAAAAGCAAATAAGTGTAAATAGTTAAGTACTTTTCTATGTTATGATAAAAGACTCATTTCTTTATTGATAATGACACAAATTGCAGTCAATTTCTGGTTACTGTTTCTAATCAGCATTAAAATATTGAAAAGCAATGTTAAACATTCTTACAATAGATAACTTTTCTAATTAAATTTGTTGTAAAAAAATCGTTTATGACGTGTACAGAGTAAATAACAGAGATAGATAAAAAATTAATAGCATGTGCTAACTGTTATTAAGCACCAGGAACGACGAGATGCTTTAGGCGGGTGGGTTCATTTCCCAACCCAACATCCAGCGCCCGCCTCGAACATCAATCGGCACGACGCTGATTCGCCCAAGCGGGATTGGAGACGGAGACTTGGTTTCTCGGCTGTGCCATAATGATTACGGCCTATACATCACTATTCACGAAGGCATAATCGACGGCATGATCGTTTTAACGTAAACACCATTGAAAGCAGAATTGGTGTGGAATGCGATTTATACGTGGCAAAAACTTAAATGCACCGCACCGAACCAAGGGCAGGAATCAAAACGCTTACTATAGGGGTGGCCCTTTTAGCCATTGCACATATGTCGGCCTCGCAGAAAATCACAGTGGAAGTGGATGTATCATACGTATGCTTTGCGTCTGGTGAGTAAGGTAACCCGAGTTGGCAAACGCATCGGATTTCGTCAGTTGTAGATGTCCATAGGCAGAGGTAACATTAGGTAAACCGTCTCTGTGGTTTAACCAAATTTAAACCAAATTTACCCGTGACAAAATCAACTTGTCGCCTAGTAAAACTATTTTGATGACACGTTTGGCGTTTGACCGAGCATATCGGCTATTGCGCTACATGTCGACGGTCGATTCCCGTACGGAACAAGAATTTTTATTACCTACAGACAGCTGTTATGGTCGAGACTGGGTGTTTGTGTATGCGTAATTAATGTATGTCTATAATCACTCCCATGATTCATGAGACTTCCTAGTGACAAAGACAAAAAGGAATAAATCTAACAAACTGAACTACGAATACAATACCGATAGATAAGCCTAGTGAGAGCGAGACAGGGCGCGATTTAGAACGTGGCGCGAACGGGACCGCCTGTTCCCGGGAGCCCTGCGTATAGTTACAACACACACATACAAAGAAGAAAAAAAAATGACCCCCCACCTGCAGAACACTGGCACGGGAACCGGCACGCCCCCTGACGAGAGGGACACGCAGTGGCTCGGCCCCTTGGGCCCCTGCCCACTCTTCCCCGGCAAACTCCAGCCGTAAGCTTGCGTGCGCCCGTCCTCCTTCCTCACGTGTGCCCGAACCTAAACGCACCACCACTACAACGGTCAGCTGTTCACCCTTATACCGCATTCCAAGTCTCGCTAGTAGCCCCGCTTTTACCGAATGGCGTTGTAAAACTATCATGACTCAGGATTTTTTTTTTCCCTGATAGGACAAAGATATGATGGTACGAGTAACTAAAGCAAGAATGTCAGTGGATTATTTCAATCAATATAAACTAATTTTAAAACTGTCTAGAAATTGGGCGCTGTATAGGGCACGGACTTTAAAGCACTGTCGCTATAAAAATAAATTCTTTCGGGATTAAAATAATGATAGACTGAAATGAATTACTTTAATTTTAAAATAATTAATCTCCATTAACAAACACTATGAGCTAAATAAATATTACTCCATTTAGATTATCAAATTGCTTTTATACGTTGATCGTAGTTAGAATAACCAATAAAATATTAAATTTATTAATTATACATATATATTTATCATTATTAATAAAGAATGACTTTCATTGCATACTATCATAATTAGCATACAACATGTATTGAAAGGGTTGAGATAGCAAGCTTACAAAATAAAAGAAATATATGTAAATAAAACATAAAATTATAATTAAATCCATTTTATTAGACAGACACCATAAAACGGACAAACATAAAACTAAACTGTACAAAATGACTAAAATACTGGAAGAACGCCTACAAATACCCATGGTCTAGTTTAAATTAAAATATCACGTTTGAACGTTTCACAAGGTAACTTAACGAGTTCAAATTCTGAACTATTCTTAAGTTGTCCTCACTGATTCAACTGAAAAAAAGAAAGGAGTAGGAATTAGGTTGAGGAAAAGGAAAAAAACCAAAGAAGCTGACTGGGAGGCAACATATAAAGCAACGAAAATGGCCAAGCAACGAAACAAAAGGATATCGCAGATAATTTATAAATGGATACATGCAAAACAAATCACAGAGTAGGAAAATTGAAGAAATAAAAAAACTGAGACAATATAGTAAAATGAGAGCCGTTTCGTAAAAGCGATGAGTACCAGCAACAGAATTAAGTTATTCATATCATATTGTAAATACTGTGCCAAATACCCAGTATTTGACACATTATTAACAATTAAAACAGTACAAGCACACATATAACACAAATGGTTACAAAAATAGGGTCCGAGGTATTGAAGTCAAACTGTCATTTAAAATAATTTTGATTGTGTTAAAATGGTTTTAAACGCTTGGTCGGAGTGTTAAATATAATCCATCGGTTAATCCGCATGATCAGATATTGAATATAATTAAATATGAAAAAAATAATAGAAGAAAATCAATAAATAAAGAACAAGTACAGATTACAACGCCAGGTAGTGGTGATATTATGTTTATGATTGATTAAGGGATTGTCTATCAAGTTTATGAGAATCACGGTGAATACACACAAAAGAGGAAAGATTCCCAATAATAATCAGACATCAAAGCTAAAATACGCCTGAGTGAAATCTCTTGAAGATCTAGATAGGTGCATACATCTTCGTACTAATATTTGTGTTTTGACTAAATCGATTAACAACGTTATGCAGAATTGAAACCAAGGTGTAGTGGTCCATCCCACTACACGTTGCTCTACAATTGTGCATCTAGTTTTTTTGGCTTTCGTTGCTAAATAAGAGAGCAGAGAGACTATAGCTTATCACATACCCTGTCATAAACTATAAAAGGGCTGAATGTGAAGTGCAGTTACAAAATACTATTTAATATGGCTAGTTATCACATAATCGAGTAGTAAGAGATCGGGCCCTAATGAAATTTACCTTACGTTACTGTAAAATGTCCGTTTTTGGACATTTTTGGATCCGTTTTTGGACACCGTTTAGTTATTTAAAGGGAATACAGTGATGTTAATAAAAGGCGGCTTTCGATAAGTGGTAAAGTGCAATGCTTAAGGTGAGCGTGTTATTTTTAACTTTTTTTGCTTACTTTTTTATCTATTTCTTACACTACTGCCCTTACTGTCGGATAAAATTATCCTGCGCCGGAAGAGTATTATACAAGCAACTAGTTATTTCGCGTGGTAATCGAACACACGGCCATTGATGTTTTAATAAATTTGACGCAAGTCAATACTGCGTGGCGTTTCAAAATCTTTCCGCTTTACATTATATATTTACGACATATAAAAGTGAATGTGACAGACGACATAGAACCTGTGATACGGAAAGTGATAGCAGTCTATAGGATTGCATACATAGAACGTGTGATACGGAGGGATAGTAGAATAGAATATTATTTATTACTATAGAATTGCAAACTAATTACATCAATTGGCAATAGTGGCATCATTGGCAAAATCAATTTTTACACGATATGGTGCCGAGCGAGCCTTTGAGCCAAAGGTGTTTCTGTAGAAGACTAGAGTGCGCACGTTGAGGTGTCGTTTACCTGTCGATACTGCTCGCTGCGCTCCTGCCGCCTGTGGTGCTGGTCGGTGAGCTGGGTCTCCAGGAAGTCGCTCTGGGTGCGCGAGTGGCGCAACGCGGGCTGCGGCGCCGCCACCGCCCTCAGGTGGGGGGTGGACAGGGGGCGCTGCGGTCGCTCGCTCGGTCTGTCAAACCCAACGCGCCACAACCAATCAGTCGCGTGCGATGTGAGAGCGAGCGCAAAAACGTGTCCTCGGAATGCGATGCACACTGAGGGTATACTGTTAGGGCCACGCAACAGTCTAACATGTTGCACGAACGGGCAGGCCCGTCTGGGTAAGTGTCACGACCACAAAGAAGACCGGCGTGATGCGGAAGGGTTATACGTGAGATAGCCGGGGCCCACTAAAGTATAAGGTGGCAACGCATTCAAGTCAATTGGCGGCGGTTATTACTTAGCATCACGTGAACCGCCAGCTCGTGTTCCTTCTCACATTAAAAAAAAAACAGAGTTACGGCACATCCATTGGTTAAATAATATACGTGATCAATCGCAGGAGCGGCGTAGCGTTTCATAATTATCTGTGAGCGAGCTGTTTTATACATATTCGTGCTTGAATGGAGAGATTATATTTCAATTAAAGTAACGGCCTATATATATCCCACTGCTGGGCAAAGGCCTCCTCTGTACAGAAATTATTAGGGTATAGTCCACCACATGGCTCCACTGCGGATTAGCAGACCTCACATATCTACATCGAAATATATATATATTTTTTATTATTTCGAAAATATGCCGGTTTTCTCAACATATCACTTAAAATTAACAATTTCATTGGTGCCGGCTATCTCAGATTTTCTTTATTTCACGTAATTTAGTCTTAAATCGTATTTATTGTTATTATTATTATTATACTTTTCATACAAATCGATTAATGACCATCAGTCAGATCAGCAGTAATAATATACCAAATCACAAAATTTATAACAGTGTAAATTCTGATAATTATGTCATTGCTATTAATTATAATTTTTCGATATAATACTATCATTATTTATGATACGCAATGACCGATTACTTTTTACACTTTACATGTTTATAAAAATCGCCTTTCCAATTTGTTTTCGCCATCGGCATGATACGCATTTAACTGCATAGCAAGGTAACATATTCAGAACGAGACATTACTTTCGTATTTAGAAATTGTTGTATTTTTTCAGTCATATTTAGAAATTATTGACTTTTAAACTCTATAGCAACAACAACCGGCGGATGCAAATAGCAAAATGACGTTTATTGCGGCGCTATAAGAGGGAGGCCTTTCTTAAGCACTGGACATATTGGGGCCGATAATGATGATAATGCAACTCCTAAGTTTCTTTAACGGTTAGCGGTTACGCGATATGGAACTACGGCGATATGGAATTCCATATCCATTATTTTTCCAATTCAGTCGTTAAAGGTGTGTTGCTGTATATTATGGGTAAAGAGACGTTGGATGCATTTCTTCTTCGGTTCAATATGAAGATAGGTGTTTCACAGAGGGACACAAATTTTGAGTAATCACAAGAATGCGATTGAAGTAATTATGAAGACTGAGTGGAACTTTGTATTGATTACTTTTCTTTGGGCTTGTAGAAAGGCGTTTCAAAAATTACTGCTATTGTAACGGCCATGAGGGGCGGTAACCATTTAACATTAAGAAACTGTTAGTTTAACACTTTTGCGCATAAAAAAAAACTACGATCACATTCCGAGACCACCGGTAGCAATCAATCGATTTATTTTTTCAAGCGATGTCTTTTTAATAATCCTTTAGAACCGAAACTTACAACTGAATGATTTTAATAATATAATATTCGTAATTGACGCCTCATGGTGAACGTAAGTGTAAAGACCGCAAATAATGAAGAAATTTTTCAGCAGATACAACAAAATGCATAAAAAGCACGAAAAGCAGAAAACAAATAATAATAAAAATAAGTAAATGACAAAATATAAACGCCTCTGCAATTTTTAATTAAACATAAGCGCAATTTTTCATGCATGTGCGTGACGCCGCCGGTAAAATTTAATCCGTCATTGGACATTATTTGCAATGAAACAATATAACTTTTTCGCAACAACTCATAAAAGTAGTATTCGCTTAATTGAAGAAACCATATTCAACATAGTGGAATAAAATAGTTGAAACTATTTACTTATGACCTAGGAAGGAAACTAATGACCATTAAAACTATTAATTACCTATACACAGGTAATGCTTAAAAACGTTACTGTGGCAGGACCACGCAACAGTATTCGATGTTGCACGAATTGGCAGGTCCGTCCGGATTGGTACCATGACCTCACAGAATACCGGCGTAAAGTAGAATTGTTACACTTCTGCGTTTCGTCTGGTGAGTGAGGTAGCCGGGGCCCACATTATTGAAAGGTGGCAACACATCTGCAACCGGTGTTACAAATGTCCGTGGGCGGCGACTATCACTTAACATCAGGTGAACTGCCAGCTAGTTTGCCACTTTTTCACATAAAAAAAGGTAACGGATGGGTGGATGGAAAGGATCACGTACAACATTAATAGTAATGAAATAATAATAAGTGAAAACTGCTTAGAATCAGATGTTTTTTAAATACTCGTAAGCAGTCAGATTTAATCAGATTTTATGCTCAACATTGGAATGCATTAAGCTGATAATCATAATGATTATGCTGGTGATGAAAGTAAAAGAAACAATGAACGCGGAAGTTACGTCAATAATCGCATAGCGGTCTCAAATAACACAATGAAAAAGGAGAAAATGTAATTAGCATTAAGAAAACTTCATGTTAAATGTGCAATAGGAATTCGCAATGTCCCTCGCTAATTTTGAAAACTAACGCGTAGCCAAAGGCTTGCATTATAATGCAATTGTTTTTTGTTTTTTTTTTTTTTTCAATACTTAAGTTAACTTACAAAAATAGCGATTAGATAAATAACACCATAACTATAAATGACAGACGTTCATAACATAATTAAATGAAAGGAATGTTGAGTGTAAGAACTAAATACAAGAAAGCCTGTCTGCCACTATCGCAATTCGTGAATGTTTATGAAAGGGTACTGATAAATTATGAATAATGTAGTAATGATCGTTGGTCGAAAACATAAACAATCAGGTTGAAAATAAATTTAGCAAAACAACTTTAAAACGATAACAGAGATAAATATTGCGCAACAAAAACGCAGTCATGTCGTTATAAAGGACGAAGAAAAATATCAACCAAATAACAACAATGAGGGTTGATGCAAAAACGATAGCGCTGAGTTTAATCGGCTTTTTTCACTATACTTTCATTACGGTAACGCATTCCAATGGTTTCCCATCAATTCACCGCCTCCAAACGCTTATCGCAGATTAGCGCTAAGTTTGTGTACAGTGAAATTAAAGCCAAATCGCCTAGTATAAAGTCCAAATTACTTGAAGAGGTTGCTAAACAGCTTCCAGATGCCCTGCTTACTCTTCTTGTCTATGTTTTCGCCGCGGCTGGCGCGCATCATCTCGCTCCAGCGTATCGCATCCTGCAACTCCATGTAGCGCTCCTGAAATGGAACAAGATACAGCATGTAAATACTAGACAATTAGTTTGGACTGGAACCCGTGTATCAATATCCTCTAACCAATCGAGTCAAGCCGATGTCAATAACAAAAAAATATACATAAATAACAATAATCTAAAATGTGCAGACAAGGCCGCAGGGTCCAATCCTGCGCGACTAAGCTAAGCGGCCGTCATCCTCACCGTGCGAAATACTCGACGACTTATCTAATAAATTTATAATGAATTTATCCAATGTGGTTGTTTTACAGTAAACTTTTTCAATTAGCATTTTAAAGAGAATATTTGAGAAGCAGGTTCCTCCTAGGAAGTACCACGCCTCACAGAAGACCAGGTTGGATGAAACACCCGGAGCCCACTTTAATGAAGCGACACCTTCTCACTTAGTCAATTTTTCTCAAAAGGTCATCTTTTTAAAGGAAAAACAAAACCGACTACAAATATCTCCCTCTGTATTCATTTTACACTTTATTTTTAGGAGTTCCCTACGTATCTCCGGAACCCAATACCAATGAAATTATTATAGGATAACTTGGGAAGCGCCAGCTTTCAAATAAATAAAGAATCATCAAAATCGGTTCAGTCTGTCCAAAGTTCTGACGTAACAAACATAAAAATACAGTCGAATTGAGAACCTCATTCTTTTTTGAAGTCGGTTGAAAAATCAAGCAAAGTATATAATATCCCCATAGGAAATTTAGTATCGTAAGTAATAAGAGAATGTATTTCGGTTTGGACTTTGCATAATTAAATTCAATTATTTTGAATCCGTCCATTTTTAGTGCGTTCGAATTTGCGATCTTTCGATCACTGTACAGGGAACCAGATCTAACATTAAAAAAAAAACGAGTGTGCTGTAGACTGAAGTAAAACTTCTTTAGCACATATACAATTTGCAATCTGTATCACCATCTGCATGATTATTAATTTAAAATTTTATCAGCTTTAAACGTAGAATACTTTACGTATTGAGCAAAACATTAATTTGTAAAGTTGTTCAAGATCGAAATGAAATCACGGAACAGTCAAGTAATCACCGTTCGCGCCACATCACACTTTTCGTAACACCGATCACAGTTTTCGTAACGTCGAGAGTGCGTAAAGAAGTTTAACTTGGACGCCGCGCACACGGGAGGTGGGTTTCTGCGCACCTTGTACTGGTTCCTCTCCATGAGGACGCGGGCCATCTCGACGCGGGTGAAGCGGCGCCGCTGCGCCATCGGCACGTCGGCCTCGTCCTCGTTCTCGCCGCCCGCGCTGCTGCTCACCGTCTCCTGGGCGCAAACGAACCTCAGGGGACGCTAAGCCAGGGGTTGTTACATCTTCAACCCCAAACCCCGCCCCCGCTCGAAGTACACAAAGTGTTGCAGTGGAATTAAAGTCCACTTTATTAAAAGGTTGCAACGCATCTGCGGCACTAAGGGTGTGGCAAACGGCGGTTATCAATTAACATTAGGTGAACCGCCAGCTTGCTTGCCACCATTCACATTAAAAACTCTACGGATTTTATCAAAAAAATTGTATCAAAAACCAAGATATGTATATTTTTTTAATGTAAATATGTATAACCAAGTCTGCAAGGTACATTTTTGTTATTTTATTTTCTAGACTCTTCCACAGAGTGACCTCGAGTTACGTGTGAACTCAAATTTGTTATTTCTATGCCGCTATGGCGGTAAAATTAAGAAGTCAGCACTGTTGTACTCCCCCAAAAATGATAATTATGTTACAAATTATTATTTATTAATTTATTTATTTTGAACATCTTCAATCCCAAAGATACAATTAGTTTTTTTTTTAAAGTCAGAATGTCGCTTTACAAGGATACATAATGTTATGATTACAGGATTGACGCCTTAAACGTCAACGTCCCGTCGATAACAGTTTGAGATGACGTATATGATGTTCTTTTAAAATTATTAAAAATATAATTATAATTTGAAAGGTGGTTTGAATTTCAGAACTTTAGTTGAAAAACGAACGAAATTCCGACTATAAAAGGGGCTCGGAGTGCGTTAGACGACAGTTCATCTACGATTATCTATCGATAGCAGACTATCGATATACTACAGGAACTCGAGGAAGAAGGAACAGTGGAAAAGTGAAGTAATAGTGAGTGAACAGCATAGTGGAAAGTATAATAGTGAACAGTGACGCGAAGTGACTAGCAGTGTAAAGGCTTACGCGGTTAGTGCGGTAACGTGTAGATCTTTGCACCAGTGGACGCGCAAGTGGAGATTGGTGCGAGAGAGATATCGCACCGGTAGTACTATTAATGACTAGAGCGGTATAGAGTGGGCCGCTGTGCACATCTTTGTTGGCGACAATTAAACAAGTAAACATTTGACCGGCGTTTCACTCCAATCCCGACCCCCATATATTACGTTATTATTTCTGATACATCAATTTTCCTAATTCATCTTGAAATATATGCACAAAAAGAGTAAGCCCCTAACCAAAATATTTTCACGCTACACGATTTAAGATGTTTTGAAGCTATTTTTTAGCCATGTAACAAAAACTTTAACGAAATACTTCCCAAGTAATGGTACCCACCTTCAAATGCCTAAGTTCCTCTTCAAGCTGAGTGACGCGCTCCCTCAACTTCTCCCTGGCGGAACTGAGATTGGCCACCTCCTCTCTGAGGATCTCCTGCTCTCCGGTCAATTCGTCTACTTTCACTATCAAGTCGTCTTTCACCACGTTTAGAGCATTCCTGATATGAACAAGATAAATGTGAACAATCACGTTAATCGGTAATCGGTATAGACTCAACGTTTAATACGATAAAGATCAACAGGTTCTAAGAGGTTCAAGTCTTTAGAGAAACATTGAATCAGTTTCATCTTCATCATCATCATCATCATCATCATTTCAGCCAATAGGCTGCCACAGACTGTCACGAAACACGATTCAGGGCCACCTGCATCCATCTACCTCCCGCACATTTGGACAGGTCGCCATTCCATCTAGTGTGGGGTTGTCCTACTCTAAGATGGCGAATACGAGGCTGAGACTAGAACCCTTCTTCCCAATCAGTTATTTGCTACTTCAGCTTAGTAATCCTCTGATCTATATTTATAGTCTTTGTTCTACCTTTAGAGTTTATGCAAACCATTTCCAAAACAAACATAATTCGTCTCACCACTTTATTAAATCTTCATCTTTTAACGATTTTATTTATCTATCTGTAGTTTCACTGTGAAAGAATAAAAATAAACTCACTTAGTAGCCAATAGCTCGTTGTTCTCCAAAATCAGATTCTCCACTTCTTTACCTGCGAAACATTATGGCGATGTTAAGTCTGTTCGATTCAAATCAGAAAAGGCCGTGCGGGTATACTATTATTACATGTTATGAGATACGGATACATCCGCAGTTGGGCCGCGTGGTGGACTATGCCCTGATACCCTCTGTAAAGAGGAGGCCTTTGCCCAACAGTGGGACATGTATAGGCTGTTACTTTACTTTTACTATGAGATACTGAATCAATTATCAGATAAAAAGCAGTGGTCAGTGACGAATAGTAAATATGCGCCATTTTACAATATAACATTTTTAAAATTGTACATTACATATCGTTAAACACTAGCGACGGTGAGTTAAGGCACACTACAAATAAATAATCCCGACATTCGGTAATATCGATAGAGCGTAAACGCAAATCTAGACAGCCACCCACATATCCTGTTCCCTAAAGCTGATGATATGTGTGAAATGCAAAAATATTAATCATAGCTTAAAACCGAATCCACTACCCGCGATCCACACCAGGTGAGCCGCACAGCTGAGTCAATATAATTTAAATTATAAAACACCATACAAAAGCCGAACAAATGAACGCCCATGTTTATGATCGAAGACTGCTTACGTACGGGCGCTCTTTAATTTATTATGATCGAGCAAACTAAATTAATATCCCGTCACCGAAATCCGATGACATCCAATAGGTATATAATTCCAATTCCAATAGGTATTTCGTCAATGCTTTGAAGTTAATTAAAAATTATTTCGAACAACGTAAGGGATGTATTTTGGGAAGGATTTGGGAAATGCCAGTTCGAAACTTGTATAAAGACTAAGCTTTCGTTTTTAGGTCAATCCGTGCGACTTTAATTGCGATTAAAACATCAGCATGTGTGAATTTTTTCGCTGTGCCAAAAAAGATTTATGTGACTCAGGAACAGCTCACTAATATTAAATTGTATCCATTTATTTATGCTACATCACATGTTTCGTGAGATTAATTCGAAAACCTTTAAATCCTGTTTTTTATAATCAAGAGGAAATTTGTCTATAAAATAGTATCAAAATTGTAATTTTTTATTAATTTCCTATTATTTTTTTTAAATTGCAGTCTACTTAATTAGTTTCCGATTCAAATTAACTGACGCAAGAAACGTAAAATAATATGCATAAAGAAATAGGAGTGAATAGGATAAATTATATTATCACTACTGCTAAACGGCACTCTGGTATTTTCGCCATCGAAACGGCAAAATATGCAATTTCTAGCATTAAAAAGAAGAATTCTACTGATTCAGGACCGAGTTTCTATATAGTTAAATAACAAAATTTACAAATATTTTTAACCTCAACGACAGATTTTAAAAAACATATCTTAAATTTTAGTCTAATAGTTAAGACAGTTTCGACATTTGTATGTTATTTATGACTAAAACTGATTACAATTAAGTCGTCTTATCCATCGACCACCTAAGTACTGCACGATAATTGATATCATTGTGGAAAAATAACAATCATCTCGGCAATATATTATAATATTCAACATAGCAGAAAGAGCAATGCCCTTATCCGGTAATATGTAACAGTAACATTTACAAAATGAACATTCACTTACCGAAATAGTTATCGTTAACTGCGTGACGGTGATGCAACATGGATTAGCATGAAAATAAATTGGCGGAATATTAGTTTGCAACATGTTATACGTATGGAAGCTTGAAGCTGTAAGTAAAAAGCATGCGTTTAGTATTAAGGGCGTGGTTGTTATGGAACAAAATTAATGAGATATAATACTGTATGAAGGGTTCACGTAACTTAAAGATATTCGGACGTTCGGTTGATAATGTTTTTTAGGTTTAATTCTCTAGTCTAGTCATCCATAGCGTGTCAAAGAGTAAAGTCGTGGACTTTGGAAGTTCAAAATATTCTTACTACGAGGATGTTGATGCAATAAGAGCGCATTCTCATTGGTTAATAACTAATTATATTATACCACGTGGGGAGGCAGCGTATTACATTCGTTTTACCAAATCCTCCGCGCGTCGCAGAGTTCCCTCGCAATTAATGAAAATGCGCCCTATACACAAAGATACGTTCATTATAAATTAACTGAAGACACTTGCATTTCAGATATACGTCAACGCCATCTTAATTATGAGAAGATGTTACTTTAATAATAGAAAGATAGAAAAAAAAATCCAAAGCGCGTGAATGAAAATAGTGAAGAGAATTGAATAATCTCATTGGTATACTCGTATATTATTTTAAAGTACACTAATTGCTTATGAATTTAATAATTTCCTGCGGTGTCAGAACATAACACGATGCAGTTTATGACGACATCGCACGTGAGATTTAAAATATAATTCTGAGCGGCTTGTATATCCTTAATAGAAACTCAAGTGCCAACACTTGACCCACGTTCTACTTTCTGTTATAAAATATTCTTTCTTAATTCACAAATTTAAAATTCTTATGCTTTAAAATTTGCCAAAGGGTAATTTTTTATGCTTATGAATTATAAAAACATATATATTAAGAAGATTTTCAATTTTGGCCGTTCATATCGAGCAAATTAGTAAAAACAAAAGCCTTATATATCAAATACATTGTTCAACGAGAATAAATATAGATAACATGATAACCATAACCATTGGAATAAAGCAAATAACCAAGAAATACCGTCGAAAGTTACTTACCGAAGTAATTATCGTTAACTGCAATGCGTTGATGCAACGTTTGTTAGAATGCATGAAAATAGAACGGAGATCATTAGTTTTTCTCGTATACAGAAAATAAGAAAACAGTGGCCCAGGCTTACAACAGAAAAATGGTACGAAGATAATACTAAGGCAAAACGACCTTTGCGGTCAGTTTCCGTAATGAAGTAACTAATTTGCAAATTGATAAGATATTTTGTATCAAAAAGAGAGTAAAGTTAATATAGCCTGGAACACTAATCACAAAACACAAGACACACGTGGTATTAAGTCGATAGATGAGGCAAACAACCATGACAATGTCCTCCGCATTTAACATAGTGTCGTGGTGATTTCACTCCAAGAAGCCTCTGATTATCAAGTGGATAACCATACTATTGACTTTTCCTAAAAACTCTTCTTCGGCACTCAAGTGGAAAAAGGGATTGTCTAAATATAAAATCGGTTGTAAGCTTTAGAGTACGCGTAAGAGTTTTTGGATTAATTTAATTCGCTACACGTATTACACAATGAGAGTTTAAATACAGTTATGGTCTAATAAGCTGAGTAACTGCAGAGCATTAATTTAAAACAAGTGCAAAAAATATACACACATTTTGCGTAAATATCACAACAGTAAAACTCTTGAATATTATGTTTAGGAGAAAACAGTCTGTTTAAGTGAGGAACAGACCGACTTTTTGGCAGTGCAAACAGTTATTGTTTAGAAAAAAATGTAAGGAACGATGTTCAATCGCTATGTCGACTGTGTAATTGAAACAAAATTACGACATAAGTTATTACAAATCACGCTTTGAACTTCTTTCATTAGTATTGCTTAACGTGCAATAGAATAATTGCACCAACTTGTTAAGGCTCGAGCGGTGACGGACGAATCCGAATGACACCAAACGGACAATGGAGAAATCAGTCTAATCTCTATTAACAGTTATTACTCACCTGATGATGCATATTCGCCAGGGTGTACCCAACTTCCTGAGAACATAAGAAATATTGTTTAACGGACAAAGCTGGTTTCAGCAGAAAATGTATCCAAAATCCACCAACTTTACAAAGTAAATGCTGTAAGACTGTTTTCACCTGTAATATCTCCATCGTCGCCCTCCGCTATATTAGCATCAGTCTCCTGGAAGGCCAGCTCTTGATAAAGCGTGTTGCCACTTCTCTTTTCGCTTTTAGTCTGCGATCTGCCTGTGCTGGCGTGAGGGGGCGCCACAGGCGAAGTAGCCTATCAGAATAAATGTAATGTGTACCAAATCACGCAAAATTTTTTGGTGACGACCCAATTTCAGCAAATAGCATACGTGTTTTGAACAGTAATGTTTTAACTTTGTTTATAATATCATTGGTTCGGACACGCTTTCCCAACTTGAACCTAATAATCCTCTATTACACATATGTCAAATCATTATTTTCGTAACGTAACATATATTTCGTAACAAAAAAAAATTATTTTCGTAACGAACAATTCTGTGCTCTTCTAAATTTTAATATATCTTATCTTATCCTTTAAACGAGCAATTCTTGTATATATATAATCGGAAACTGGGAAACGGCTCCAGCGATTTTCAGGAAATTTAGTATGTGCGTAGATTCGGGGGCGAAAAATCGAGCTAGGTTTTCATTTTTAGAAAATGTCCTTTTATCCCTGTTTTCGGAGAATGAAAAATATCATTCGAATATGATAGTAAATTTAGCCGACAAAAAAATTTTATAATAGCTCGGTCGATAATGGGGTGGCCCCAAAAACAGACGGCCGCGGTTCGTATCACGATCATTTAAACACTTATTTTTTTGCTTTTTTTTCTATACCAGGTCATTTTCTTTATTTTTTTTTTCCAAAATAGATGATTCACCAAAAAAAAACTGAGCAAAGCTCGGTCCTCCAGGTACTATTAATTTATTCGGTAAACATACTGATCGCATTTGGTTTTTTCTAATTGGAATTAAAATTATTCGAAATTCGTACATCATTTGACAAATGTCAAAGAATTAAGTATTACAATATGTCATGTTCGCTTAATAGTTGTAAACTAATGGTTATCTTTTTTCTTGGCGCAATGTTCGGAGAAATAGCGACAATCAAGTGTTACCAATGCTCGACGACCTATGACAAGGGATGCTACTCTTTCAACTTGAGCACAAAACACCTGAAGGAATGTGAGAATAGGAGTGGAGAGGCGCCAGTATGCCGTTTGATTTCGCAAGTGCAGTTCTTCACGCCGGATAATGACGTCTCAATAATACGCGAGTGCGCCTACATGCACAAGGAGAACGCTAGTTGCGAACTATCTCAGTTCAGTAACATTCATTACTCATTATCGTGCGAATGTATCGAGGACGGCTGCAACGAAACAGACAGAGCGAGGATCTCCAATGTGGTGTTCTTTATGACTGCGATATGGATGTCGGTCGTAAAATAGCCGGGGCGTTCATTAATAATGATAACAATCGATATAAATATAGTATGTATATTGTTAATTAAATGATTACATTGTTTTTATTTGGTGAAACAACAGTGGAAAATCCAAGAGCTTTGCAAGAAAACCAAACCAGATGCCGTTAATTTTATGATTAGAACCCAGTTTAAAATTAAAATTATCACAAGAATGACATATGTCATCATCTACTTCAGTAAATTTATTTTGACAATAAAATTATCGAAATACTTATAAATCAATCAAATACAATATGCACGGTTCCTGGAGAAATATCAAGTGGAGTATTTGTTAAAGGCTGTTTTTATTGCAAATGCAGACAGTAGTATACTAAATAAACAATTCCTACCTGACTTTGCTGTGTGATAGGATCAGTTTGATGAGCACGCTCCACAGTTCTCACTGCTGCTAATTCAGATCCTATGGGTGGTGATGGCGGTGAAGAAGACAGACTCACAGGACTCCCAGGAATACTCTCGGTTTGTTCCACAACATTGACCGATCCCTCCAGAGAAGCAAAACCAAATGATATGGGCCCTACAAAATACATAATGATGATTTTATTTATATTAGGTTGAAAATATGTATAAGGCTAAAGATATAAATCAAAAATCATTTGTTTATTATGTATGCCATATAGTTTCTATGTTTCATTTTAATACTTCTCATGTCACATTTGGGAAATCTATGAACCCACTTATGGAACCTCATATTTTGCTATGATCAACATTATGATAAATACAAACACTTCTTTTAAATTTTAAAATAAATGGAATGTTTTATATGTTTTATTGGCTGGACAAGAAAAAACTAAATAATTAAAATGAAAGTAATAATTTAGTATTAATAAATTAGTATTGTTTGACAATTTTGTTATTTTTATTAGATAAAAGTTAATCAATGAGAAATAAAAAGGTTACAGGCTGAATTTAACATGCCCATGAATTAATTATAGCAGATATAAAAATGTAGGGGGATCACTTTTTCTCACCGCTAGATCTTCCTAGAGGGTTAAGATTAAGTCTGCCTCGAACTTCACTGCGGTCACTGGCTGTACTGAGCAATAGCTTTGTACGCTCCATATAGTCCATATGAGTCTTGAATAACTCTGTAAATCTTTCATGTAACCTTGCATATTCTTTCTTCAGTTCATTCTCCCTCTCTTCAAGTCTGCTTGCATGTTCCAAGGAGTTCTTGTGCTTTAATTCCAGCATTCGCACTATACTATCCAATGCCTCCAAACGCCCAATTAATTCCTTGCTTTGACCTTCATAATGATCTTCTGTTTCTAACAACTGTTAAATTGTATAACCAATTAATAACTTACATTGTAGAAAAAAAAAACAAAAAGTAGCATTGTATTAAACATATTAATATCACATAACAACTTTATAAGTATCAAAGTTACTAAATATAAGTTTCATACGAAATTACCATAAAAATAGTTTGGTTACAAAAACGACCGAATACCTTGCTCAACCCATGGATATTTTTACACCCAAAACTTTAATTACAATCTTTACTACGAGAACATCAGTACAATTTAGAACACAGAAAATTCTAAACCATGATTAATCTAATAAGTGTTCTCATAAACGGAACAAAAATGGTGGAAATTGAATATTTATCCACCTTTTTAGTTTTACACTAGTTATAATCCAAAAAACATATTACAGAATATTGATTGAATTAATAATAATTATTAAAATATGAAAAATAAGTATTCTTCTTTAAAAATGGAACATCAAGCTCAAGTTCAAATCTTATTGAAACTAATAGTGTTGTATTGTACACATCCTAATAGAGATGTGGTTTACCTTGAATCTCACATAGCTAAACGGGTGACACATGCTTAAAAATTTGGTGACAAACAAAATCTAATAATTCTCTACTTAACAAGAATAACGTATCATATGTTTAAAGTTCAATAAAGTACTGAAATTGCATTATTAGATAGCCTTGCAAGTCAAAACAAAGGAAATTAAATCAAGGTCTATACATGCAATAAGTATTTGAGCCTTACTTTTTGTTCGGCATGCTTCCTCGCCGCCTTTTCGCGTTCATACTGCGTGACCAGCTGCTCATTATCTTCTCGAAGTAGTTCTAACTCTACTTCATGTTCTTGATTAGTTTGATATGCTGAATCTAAACATTCTAGTACATTAACAAGTAATGGCATTAAAGTTTTGACTACGTCTTCGTCATATCGAGCGATCATCCGTTCGAACTCTTGGTAGATACTGCCTGCTAAAGATTGCACCTTTTCTGACATCACAACATGGGAATCCTCATGAGTCCCGTATATGGTCTCGTTAGTGACATAGCCACTACTGGAACTGTCGTCGAAATTCATGTTGAAGAATTGTTATAAGCCAATAAAATTACCACCACCTCTAACAAATATGTCTAATGGATTTTACGCGAAAACATGATTAGTAATTTTGTGTACAATATTGCACGATGACGCGATCAATGATAATTGCAAAAATTATTTATTTTAAAGATCATTACGAAAATTGTTGAGAAATTAGCACATAAGTAATTGTATGTGGTTTAGATATGCAGAGGAAGATGGAATAGAAAAAAGTCACGACATTCACACCATTGGTTCGATTGACGTATTTTTTGCTGTACTGTAAGAAAAAAAACTTCGATTATTGATAGCTGCTGGAACAGTTTCCGGCCATAGACACCAATGCCGGAAATCGAGGGTTATTATAATGTTAGGAAACTAATTATCATATACAAAAACATAATAAAAGCTACACAATATTTCTAATAAATAAATAAAAATATACGACATTGTATGTTTTTTTTTTATTGAATGGAAATTGAAGTTCATGTGGATCATAAGATCATAACTAAATAAGCCCAGAGACTTAAAGTCGAAATACCGGCACATTAGTCTTCTATAATAAAGATAGAAAAACATCACCTCCAAAAAAGTCAAGAGGGCTTACACCTTTTTAGGATTGTTGTTGTGAGTATCACACAGACTCATGAAATTATACGATACTAACTGTCAAACCGTCCTTTTAAATTTTTCGTCGACGGAACCCTTTCCTACCACCGTGTCAGGATGCGTTGCTCTATACGAGTATGTACTCGCATGCCATAGGACGCCCTAGGTCGAGTTGGCACGATAATCAATGACACAGTTCTTCAAGCTATGGATTAAGTTAAAGCGTTGGATTCCGCTTAAAATCTCCATGCCAAATACTCTAAAGCTTAGACGATAGTCATGGTTCAGAAAGTGGCACGTCAAGGTCAACCTAGAAAAGCGATGATCTTATCCAATTTTCATTTAGCTGAAAACAAAAACAAAAAGCATCCTCCAATAGAATTATTCAGTCGACATATTCCGAACTAAAGTAAGCCCAAAATCGACCAAGTGCGAATCGGACTCGCGCACGAAGAGTTCTGTACAATGGTAACAGTGGTTAAAGATAAAGATTGTATGGGAGCCACAATTATATACTTTTATTATGTTTTTTTAGTAATTTGTAGTTTATAGTTGTTATAGCGCTAATAGAAATACTTGTATCTTGTATTAAATGATGTTTGTGCTTTCAGTCCCGAGACTATTAAAGCTTCATCTGACGCAGAACCGGTGGGCTAGCCAGAACCCACGGGCTTGGGCCCTCCGCTGTGGGTAGGTTCACGCATGTGCTCATGCGGCCGTAAACTGGGGCATGCCATCGAGGTTGCGGTGCGGACCGAGACTCCGATGGCCATCGACTGTGTTTTTAGCTAATCGGTGGCTGGGGGCGGTGAGAACCGCCCTGGAACGCGGGTGTACCTTGTGTGTTGATCTCGCCGTGCTCGGAGGCGAGGGCGAACTATTGCGCGACCATCGACGGTGGGTCCGACGTATCTAAGTCCCTTCAACGACCGGGTCGATGAGGACGTTTCGCGGGCGACGCTTTTATGTCGCGTTTGTGTCGGATTGGTCATTTGCTGCGCTTACCACCAGAGGGTTGGGATGATGTTCGGCTCTATCGAAGAATCGTTTGATCAGGTCTTTAAAATATTCGCGAAATATCGGGAGTCTGCAATCGCTGTGCAGGACGCTGTGTTGTTACCACAACAATAACACTAAACTACTGCACTGCTTGCACAAAGATTTAAAATACAACTGAAGTTGCGAGTAGCGTTTAATTCGGGTGGCATGAGCCCTCCGTCTTAGAGAGCTCCGATCCGTACGACAGCACGAAGAGGAATGAACAGAAATACATCCGTGCCGTGGTGACACATTGGAAGTACCGAGGTTTAGATTGGCTAAAACCAGAAAGTCGTTTCTTGGTAGATGCATAAACTTTTATAATCAAATACGTGATATCCACAAACAACTAAGTATAAACAATTGCAAACAATTTGGAAAAGCTACCCTAATGGCAAAGGCCTACTATTATGTGGAAGAATGCATTGAGGACAAGGGTGTGTGAAATTACTCTTGCTCAGCACTTGCAAGACCCCTGGCTGCAGCTGATTTGATACCTAAATAAGTTGGTATAATTGCACGACAAAAAAAATAACACAAAGAATAAAACCTAAGAGTTTCTTGTCGGTTCTTCCCTGTTCGTGTCTAGTTTGATGAATCGGAGGTAGTTTTTTTTTGTTGATGTTCAATAAAAGCTTAAGTAAAGCCTATATTGAATAATTCACCTGTCTAACTATCAGAGTTCATGAGATACGTCCTGGTGACAGGTGGACAGGCAGAATAGTCAGAAAGCGAAGTCTTAGTAATAGGGTCCCCGGGTTTTACCCTTTGAATACGGAACCCTAAAAATTTATTGTAACCTAATCTATCTAACCTATCAATCTATCATCATTGTCCACACAGCGTAGATCGCAAAGGGCAGTCTGCGGTGTTAATGGGCCGTTGTGTAGGGGGCTTTTGCTGCTGCTATTACTTCAGTTCGTCTAACGTGGTCCAGGTGGCATTTATTGGCCAAATTTAAATAGCGTGTGAATATTCAAATTTTTCAGTAGGGTGCCCAACGTGTTTATTGCGTGAATACTGCAAACCTAAGAAACTTCTTACTATGTTTTTATCAAGGTGTTACGGTTTAAAGCCCTGTTAAAAATGGCACCGACTCCAAAAATTGTTACACTTTGTTAGAGGTTAGGTAGATTAAGTTATATTGGATTTTCAAGATTTAATTACATTAAATTTAGTATTATTTTAAACTTTTTAGTGCTACTTCAGTTTTTTGAAATCGGTTTGTTTTTGTTAATATTACTTTAATTTTATATTTTTAGTGATTTAATTATAATATTTTTAGTATTAAAAATATGGGTAGATGGGTAGATCTAGCAAAGATGCTGCTCATATGAGGAAACGGCTCGCACCCTTACAGTAAGCCGTTAAGGTGTTCTATTGATCATCATATTCGACTACGCTAACTACTTAACCTTATGACGTTTCATGAATGAAGAAAAGCATTTCGTTAATGAAATATATTAATAATATTTTTTTAATATTAATAATAATTTTAATAATAATAATAATTGTTAAATGGTCAGACACTGAACTAGAAGCTCTAAACACCACAACACGAACAACATGCAATGGACACAACATTCACCACATACACTCATCAGTACAAAGATTCACTCTAAACAGAGAACTTGGAGGCCGCGGATTCATAGACATAAAAATTTTGCACTATACACAAATAGACAATTTACGATCATATTTCCTCACAAAGTCTAGCGATTGCCCACTACACTAAGCAATTACTGATCTGCCCAAAACTGGTACAGCTCTTCAGCTTAGTAACAGACAATATGATCCGAAACAAAAAATTCATACAGAAGAACAAAAAATCGAGAACTGGAAGAGTAAAGCACTACATGCCACCAAATTATCAAAACCCGAAACTACACTAAATATATCCTCAAAGAAACAATAAAAGCTGACAAATGTAGATTATCCCACCAAACCACCGAAACAATAGATCATATCACAGGAGGATGCGGTTTTCTTAACCAAAAAGAATATACTCACCGCCACAACAACGTCGCCAAACACATACACCAACAGCTTGCACTAAAATACAAACTTCTGACAACTTACACCCCCTACTACCAGTATAAACCAAAGAATGTACTTGAAAATAGCACAACGAAACTCTACTGGGACCGAGACATAATAACTGACCGTACCATCCTCAGCAATAGACCCGACATTACACTCATCCAAAAATCTACTAAAACCTTATAGACATCGCCGTTCCCAACACACAGAATCTTAAACAGAAACATACAGAAAAAATACAAAAATACATACCTTTAGCAGATGAAATTAAACAGATGTGGCACCAAGAAGTAGTCAAAATCATCCCCGTTATTATTTCAGCCACCAGTGTCATTCCAAAATCACTTAAAAAAGCGCTTAAAATCTTAGACCTACATGAAAACACTTATATACCCCTCCAAAAATAAATTGTTTTAGACACATGTTCCATAGTACGCCGATTCTTACACCCAACCTCCCAGCCACACACAGTACACAGCTGCCAAGATGACACACACAACACACAGCAATATTCACAAACAAAAAAAAAAACACAGTGGTACCAGGATACTTGGCGTATGCACGTATCCTGGACCAAATAAAAGAAACCGACACCGAGTCGAGAAAAAATCTAATAATTATAACTTTGAAAGTCAAATAATTATAACTTTGACTTTGACTTTTATATTATTGTCTGTAGACTGCATCTCATTCATAGTGTCAAAAGTTAGTTCCACATCACTGAGGCATTGACATGTCATGACATTTATTGAATATACGTCAGAGGAAGTAACGTCAATTAAAGCTTTGCAAACTTTTTGAAAAGTTTTCTTGTTGGTAAAAATATTTCACATAGGGAAAATACTGTTTCTTGTTGTACATTCATTATAGTCTTCAAGTTAAGTAAATCCTTAGCCACGTCATACTCCCTTGAGTATTACAAATATTAATAGATAACTGTTTACCATATTACATCTTAGGATTTAGTGAAAATGGGAGTACAAGGCAGCGTGTGGGGCAAGAAGTCATTGTTATGGGCATACATTTTCTGGTTTTTCGGTGGTATATTTGGGCTTCATCACTTTTATCTTAAACGTGACAGACATGCATTTGTTTGGTGGACTACTCTTGGTGGTTTTGGTGTTGGGTGGGTTAGTGAAGTATTTAGCCTTCCACGTTATGTGAGGGAAGCCAATGAAGACCCAAAGCAAATGCAAGAGGTAGTAAGAAGAATGCATCAAAACAAAAAGGTAATCTTTTCTAATGATAATCTATTGACATCAAAAGAGGTTTATCTTGTTTTCTTTATAATTTTTCAATATTTGTTCTTAACATATATAAAACTATATTTTTATCATATAAAGCTTTAACTTAAATATTAATGGAGGTATCTAAATTAGAATTTATTCATAAATATCTACAGAATGTTGTTCAGAAGTAAATACAATGACTGATGAATTGCCAATTGATTTTGCTTATTATATAGTTCTTGTTAAAGTAGGGGGTAACCTACTTTCTTACAGTACTACTTTAAAAAACTTTAATTGATTGAAATGAAAATAAAAAAATCTATGAAAATAAATTAAATCTTTAAATTTCATACAATAGAAATATTTGTCATTACCATACAATATTTATTTTAGACCTATATTTTAAGTTTAAAACTTACATGTTTACTTTATAAGAAAACATTAATACACAGATATATCATAAAAAACATTTCTACTTCACAAGTGTGACACAATATTAACGCCCGATTTAACATCTACTATGATTAGTGTTTCAGAAACCGGGCTTAAGATCCAAATTCAATCATTAACATTAAAACAAAAACAATTCATCAACAGTAACAATACTATGTCATATTGAAATACTTACTTACAGAAAAAATTTTGATCATTGCCAAGTTCGATAAATTTTTACCAACATTTATTTATTTCAAAGCTTGGTTTTGTACATTTTTATACAGCAAGTGTGATGTATAATATATAAGCATGTCATCACTTATCATAAATAATGACAAATTAAGTTCATTACTTTAATATCTATTACTTTATTTTATTATTTACTTTAATATTAAATTTAACTATTATCGAAGTATTATGATTGTTAGGCAATTCTGGTATCCATCATGTAAATTGAGTCAGATTTTTAGTTGGTTACAAATTATTTTTTAAATACTACAATTAATAGCAGCCCATAGTAAGCAAGAGTAGGGAAAATCAAAACTTATATTGGCAGCACCAACCCTTTAATCAGTTTGTATAAAAATTACAAATTTTTATGGAGGACAAGTTTTTTTTGATAAATCATGTATTTTGGAAATTAAAAAAAAAAATAAAGAAAGCAATGATTTGGTATAAAGAAAAGTAAAAAAATAAGTGTGTAAATGATCATAACACGAACCACGGCCTCCTGTTTCGGGGCCGCCCGATTATCGACCGAGCTATTATAACTTTTTTTTTATTCGGCGAAATTTTACGTCATATTCGAATGATATTTTTAATTCCCCGAAAACAGATTCGATTTCCAATCAGATTCGATTCGCCCCCGAATTTACGCACATACTAAATTTTATGAAAATCGCTGGAGATTCCGAGTATATACAGTGTGTCTTTACAATCGCGACAATAAATGAACACACATATAGGGGATAACTTTTTAAAATTGTATTAAACATTCACTTTCTTTAAACATCTATGTTACCCGAATTTTGATAAATAATATACTATTTATAAAAATTTTTTGTAATGTTTTTATTTTTTTATGATTATTGGCAAGTATATACATACATACAAGAAATGCTCGTAAAGGTATTAGATTAAATACCATAATACCCCCATGTTGTGTGGCCCTTATATGTGAAGTGTGATCTTGACTTATTTTCTTACATAGATAAATATAATTTTTTTGTACAATAGATTCAACATTCTGAAATATAACTTTGTAAATAGTAAAGTTACAATTCATATTTCGGGACAAGTAATGTCTATTGTTAACTATTTTTCTACAAATCACAAGTATATCATTGCTTAATTGTATACTTATTGCATCCTAATTATATAATACCTTTTAATTATATAATATTTTTTCAATACATTTCTTTTTCAAGATCTTCACCCAGAAGGACTTAAAATCTTCAGGTACTGAATGCATGTATCATTTTCTGCTGCATGTGGCATATTTGCTATATTTTTTTATTGTATATAAATTATTTATTTCATGTTCACTTTCTTACATGAAATAAAATATTTTTAGTTAAATGTGAATATACATGTAAACATACAACTTTATTATGGTGTTACGTAAATATGTTTAATGTGCTCATATTTGCTGTGCTTGTATATTGATAATATATTTATTATTATTTTTAGCCACCGTTTTCAATGAACCGCTTCACTGGAATGCTAATGGTTGGTTACTCATGGGGACAAATGATGATGTTGGCAGTCCCTCCTGACGAGTTCTGGGGTCTAAACCTCAGATATCTTAATTACTTAATTCCTTTTGTTTCGGCCCTTGGTAAGTTTGATTAGCATATACAGCATGTTTTTACAACCGCGACATTAAATGAACATATTTTTAATGTTATTTCTCAATAATGATAAGAAAATATAAACATTAAAAAATCCATAATTTAAAAAAATAATTTTCAAACAAACTCATTAAATGAAAAACAAACTAGATTTGAAATATTCAATACAACTACAACTTATTGATTCATATAAATATTCAGAGACCTTTTCCTTTGTTGCCACAACCTCACGTTACAAGTCTCTCCTTCTAACAGTATCTCTTTTAAATTCATTCAACCAATTCATATGCTTTTTGACCTTTACAAATGAACTTTACTTAATAATATAAAATATATACATAGGGGTGATCTATACATAGGGGTATATAAATTCTATATACAGGGGTGATCTAAAATTGTTTGTTTTGGAAAATTAAATAACTCAGTAAATACTGATGTTTAATGAAAGTAAGTATTTAAGGCAATTTTAGAAAGTTCTCCTGTATATGTGTGTTTATTTAAGGTCGCGGCAGTAGCTTTGTATATCACATCAATTTGTAGTAATCAACAAACTAATGCTTTAATTAACTGTGGTTAGTGGTATTTTAAGTGCAGCAATGGGTAGTATTGTAAAAGCAGTACAGGCTATTTCTTGAATGAGTATTACCATATATTTAAACATCATGGAATTAATTGAATTTCCATCAGTTTACCTGTAAGCAATAATTTTAACAATTATTTACATATATTTAGGTGTGTGGACAGTTGGTAATATTGGACGGGAACAGGGTACTTTTAAATGGCCATTGATAGCTGCATATGCTGCATACCCTATACGCTTTTATGTTTATGATGAGACAGTATGGTTTACACTTATGGTACTGGCTTCTGCTCTTGCCTTTGATACATACTCTAAAGAGTGGCGGAGAACACCACAGAATCGTAACCTTATCAAGTAAGTATGTCAAACAGCTAAAGATATTTATTCAAAATAATATGGCAATATTTTGTCACAAAGCGATTAATGTATATAATAATAGCTTTGTTTAAATTGAACATTCTAACTTTTGACGTACTTTTCAAGAATAATATGAAAACATACTTTCAATGTAATAATAACGGAAATCAGGTTAAAAAGTAACTTTGGAATTACATATATTTTTATATATGTGGTTCTACGTCGCTGTGTTTTTTTATGTGAAAAAAAGCGAGCTGGCAGTTCACCTGATGGTAAGTGAAAACTGCCGCCCATGTTGCAACACGGGCCTTAGTTACATCACTCACAAGACGATACGCAGAGTTATAATACTTCCACTTCACACGGTCTTCTGTGTGGTCCTTTCACAGATGCACCTGCCATATCATGCAACAGGGAATAATGTTCCATGGCCCTACCAAAGACACTGTTTATATCATCAAAATACAGCGTGTGGTTACAATCGCGACAATAAATGAACACACGTCTCACGCTACTTGCCAATAAGTATAAAAAAATATAAAACGATATAGAAATCCATAATTAAAAAAGTATGTTTCAAACAAACTAATTAAATAAAAAAGAAATAAAATTTGAAACATTCTATACAACTGCAACTAACTGATTCATACATTCAGATGGTGGTAGGGCAGCCTCGGCTGTTGCACGAATGGGCAGGCCCGTCCGGGTAAGTACCACGACCACACAGAAGACCAGCGTAAAGTGAAAGTATGACAAATACTTTCGCGTTTCGTCTGGTGAGTGAGGTGGCCGGAGCCCAATTTTCAAAATGTTGTCAACGCATTTGTAACCCTCGAGTGTGGTAGATGACTATGGGCGGTGGTATTCACTTAACATCGGGTGAACTGTCTGCTCGTTTGACAACTTTTCGCATAAAAAAAACATTTAGACACTTTCATTCGTTGCCGCAGCGTCGCATTACAAATTTCTCCTAACAGTATGTTCTATCCCTTTCAAATTCATTCAACCCATTCATATGCTGCAGTTTTATACTTAAGGATTTTCGAAAATTGTTTTTTTTTTTTTTTGGAAAATTCAATAACTCGGTAAATATTGATGTTTAAAGAATGTAAATGATTAATACAATTTTAATAAGTTATCCTCTAAATATTTTATGGTATTAATTTATTGTCGCGTTAGTAGCGACACGCTTTATAATTTCTTCTGTCCTTAACTATTTATATATTATCCTCAGGCGTATTGCAATTTTGGGCCTATGTGCTGCATTATATGTATCACTTTGGTGCAGCTACTTGTACTTTCATGGTACTATTACTGACAGTGAGGGAGATGAGGTACCAATCTATGAAGCATTGCATCACTTCTTTACCAGTCCATGGTAGGTGCTCAAAGATAATTAATTTTTTTAACGGTTAGTGCACTTTGGGGGTAAAATAGAGCTATTTAACAACTTTAAATAAAATCAAAACAATAATTAGAAAATAATATTATCACAATGCACAATTTAATTTTATTCATAATAATAATAATTATTATTATAACTTTAAAACACTTTCTGGCTACCATAAGCACTTAATATAACAATCAGACAAATTTCTTTCCTTCCTGTGCTCCTGCGTTCTCTTAATAAAATTTTATTTTACTAAAGAAAGAAGCAAAGGAAGAAAGAAATTTATAATTGTATATTGTACATGCCATATTACATTAGATCTTTAATTTGTAAAATACTAATGTGGCTTGATATGTTAGATGACTATGATTATTGCATAATGAAAGCAGATAAGTTACTTTTTCATCTTCCAGGTGGTTGGATGTTAAGCAATGTTTGCTAGATACATACCAGTATGCCCAACATCATGGCTGGTATGAGGTGTGGAAACAAATCATAGATTTATCAGATCCTCATGGAGAGCAAAATGCTTACAAGGTAAGGGTAAATAGTACTTTGTAATTGGAACCAAAACAAAACCATCATCATCATTTCACTCTAAGTCCACTACTGAGCGAAAGCCTCTCCGACACACTGCCACGAAGCACGATCTTGAGCCACCTGCATCCATCGATTTTCAGCACACTTTCACAGGTTGTCACTTCATCTAGTAGGGAGTCTTGAACTGCGATGGCCAATGAGATTGTAGAGGATTGACACTGTAGAGGTCATTGAGCGAGGTCATTGAGCATTACTAAGCGATTCTCCATGATGACTATATCGTCCGCAGAAAGTGGGTGATGTATTTGCCACTGATGTTAATACCACGTCCTTTCCAGTCCAGAAGCTTGAAAACATCTTCCTACTCAGCAGTTAAGAGTTTCGGGGATATGACATCACCCTGTCTTACACCCTTCTGCAGTTGGATAAGTTTTGTACTACTGGACTGCACTTGGATGGACATTAGCCTTGTTTCGCAAACACCTCTACACCTCGTTATACCGATAGTCAATTTGTCACCGCTGGAGGGCCTGGAGTGCCGCCCAAATTTTAACACAATCGAAGGCCTTCTTAAGAGCTATACGCCACTATACGCTTGACAAAGACAGATTATACTCTTTGGTCTTCTGTGTGTTTTTCTGGGGTTCTTCGCGGTGTGTATGTGGTCTAAGGTACTAGAGCCTTTTCGGAATCTGGCTTGTTCGGGAGGTCTAAAGTCGTCGAATGTGGAAGCGAGACTATCATCATAATTCTAAAATATTGTCAGTGTCATTACAACAAATCACTCAGTTTTATGTTGGGTTTTGTCAGTTACATCGACCACTACGACCTAGAAAGATCTATTGCAAGTCTTCCCTTCTGACATTATCCTGTGTCCTAAGATGTATTACAATCATAAATTTCTCATGGACATACACTCAGATGCGAAACAATTATAAACAATTATATATGGGTCGCCCATTAGTTGTCTCGCGTCGAAATCGAACCCACAACCTCCAGCGCCGAAGCCAACCTTGGCAACTGCGCCATGGAGTAATTATGTTCGTTACTATTTGTTACTTTTATTATGCCATTTTGAAATTACTCAGTTCTCATATTGTAGTGATATATTATTTTTTTAACATGTGTAAAAATAGTAACCAGTTATTACATGTACACATTATAATCAGGTTATTTTTAATCAGGTGTTGGGCGTCGGTCCGGACGCGACGCAGCAAGAGATTACATCCACATGGAGACGACTATCACGTGAAAATCATCCGGACAAAGTCAAGGACGATATGCAGAGGCGCGCAGCCCAAGAGCGTTTCATGGAGATACAGCAAGCATACGAAATATTATCAAACAGCAAGCATAGGAGGAATAGACGTAACAAAAAGGACAACTCAGAGCCAACAGCAAATGTCCAACGGGAAATGTAGTCTGCGGCCATGTGCAACTCTTGAAGTTTTTCATGACACAGTCATTTTTTTTTTTGGTTTATGTAATTAATTTATTTGAATTTTGATCAGATATGGTTTATGCATAGTTAAACGTATATTTTGGCTAAAAGATTTTGTATGTGCATTTATTACAGAATTTGTGTAATTTGACTGAAAAGCATTTATGTATTAAGATGTCATTCTATATTTTTATTAGTATAAGCAATACATTATGATTTTATTTATTAAAATAGTTTTACACTATTAATTGAATGCAGAAAAGCCTATTTAGTTTTTATTCGAATATAAAGCTTAAAGAACAATTTATATATATAAAAGAATCCCTATTTCTCGGACCGATTTCACTTTCTTTTTGTTGTTTTTTATTATCAGAAGGTTCTTATGAAAGAAAAAAATTAAAAAATTGCATGAAACAGTCTTAAAACAACACTTCTATTTTATTCCCTTACAAAAGATTCGTAATAATACTTAAAAGCCAATTTGAACTTTAATACCATACCATAAAGCTTATGTGTTAGTAGAGGGGTTCCGGGAAGGCAAAACAAGTGAGTGACTGTGGTAAAATGTCACTTGAAATGTAAACGTCTCTGCTGTGCATCACTACATAGCATAAAACAAATCGCGCTGTCTGGCTGTCCCTATGTATGCTTAGATCTTTAAAACTACACAACGTATCTTGATGCGGTTTTTTTTACTAGATAGAATGATTGAAGAGGAAGGTTCATATGTATAATACATTGCACCCGTGCGAAGCCGGGGAGGGTCGCTAGTTTAAAAATATTTCTTTGTTAACTCATAGTAATTTTCCAATTACATTGCGATAAATATGTATAAATGTGTATAGAATAAGTTCCTGAAGAATCATATCTGTATAATACATGATATAAAAACTGCATTCTTGCACTTTTTAAAAAAATTGTAACATTACGGTGGTAGTAGTAGTTTTGAGATAACATAATATGTTGAATCTCTATCATATGTTGAATCTCTGTATTAGTATTTAATAGATCTTTATAAATTTTTTTTTATTATAATAATCTCTTAGAAAGTTTATAATTTGAGAATTTTTGACTTGATTTCGTCCAAATGTACTTTTTTATTCATATTTATTATCTCGTGTGTAATTATTTTAGCTCAACATGTTTTATGTCTTAAATAAAGATATAGGTGTACATCTTTATTGCAATGCATGCAATAAAGAAGTGTTTACAACACAAATTCCTGAAGATTAATATTTAAATAATACATTATATCAAAATTTCACTTATTTTTTTTTTAATAAATGTAACATTATAATGGTGGTAGTAATTATGAGATAACATAATATGTTGAATCTCTATCATATATTCAATCTCTGTATTAGTAATTAATAGATTTTTTTTATTATAATTATCTCTAAGAAAGTTTATAATGAGGGAATTTTTGACTTGATTCCGTCCAAATGTACTTAATTTTTTTTTATTCAAAATATTAAATTCATATTATCTTATGTATAATTATTTTTGTAAACATGTACATTTTCTTAAATAAAGGTAATAGATAATAAATTGAGATTGATTTATAACTAACATCCAAAATATTTTGAAGCAAACCATGTCCCGAATGGCTCGTATGGCCAACACTCTTTGCGGTTTGTATACACGGGAGCCCCATACAGGGCCATTGACTTCACGACTCCGGCGTATAAGCGACGACAAGTATCAATGGGGCCTCCAACGTTTGTGAGCAGTTTGCCGAGAGCTGCTGCTACTTTTATCACTTTGGGAGACAGCCGCTCGAAGTAGGCACAGAAGTCCTATTTACGATCTAGGAGTACCTCATGGTAGATTGTACGTCGACACGGACGCCACACAAAATAATATGAGCGTCCGCAGGTGGATTTACTTAACATCACCTCTAGCCCTAGTCGCCGAATACACCTCATCACCTGAGCGTCTTCCGCAGAAGCGAGAATAGCAGCCCTGTAAAAGTTTGTGTCTAGAGCGGTCAGCATAACATGTCACCTCGACACCCCTGAGGAAGGCACCAGTACGCAGTTGGATACTCCCAATCATCACCTAAATTCCACAGGAGTGGCCCTAGCACTGACCCATGTGGAACCCCACACGTCACCTCGATGGCTTAAAGCCCATCCTGGCAAGGATACTCTATACCACGGTCTGACAAGTAGGCCCTGATAGTGCGGCGCAGGTAAAGGGACACCCCATGATGCCGGAGCGCCTCCCTAATGCAAGCCCAGGACAAGGTATTGAAGGAGTTGGCGATGTCAACAGAAACCGCCAAGACTACCGCTTCCTGTGCGAGGGACCTCCCTCTTAGCACCGCGTGTATTGTAAATCGACCCTTGCGGAACCCATAATCTTTTACGCAAACTGCCTATGCGCAAAAGATTGTGGCCGACACGCTCTAGATGCTCGATGATGCGGCCGGCAATGACTCTTTCAAAGAGCTTGCCCACATAATTGAGTTGCACTATTGGCTGAAAGGCAGAGACCACGGGACGCTCATGCTTCCGGATCAGGACGAGTCTGTCTGTCTTCCACTTCTGTGGGATTGTGTATTGAACCAGACAAGCAGTAAAAATCGCCCTCAGCCTAGAATCCAGGGCGTCCTCCAGGGCCAGGGCCCAGACTCGTCCCGGAATACTGTCGGGACCCGTGGCGGTGCTTTTGCCTTTCATCTTTAGAACGGCAGCATCTAACTCCCACAGGGTCACCTCAGGTACATCCACACTTGCGTCCGTCTCCTCATAGTCGAGTCAAACTATCACAGGTCCTCCCGCTCAGGAAAATAGGCCGTGGCCATCGCCGTCACCAACTGAGGCTGTAGAGTTTGCGTGAGTAGGGGAATCCAGGGGCGATTTTGTTCAACACCATCATGTATGGCCGCCCCCATGGATCACGGTTCAAATAGGGCAGGAAATCTGATTTGGATCGATCAGTAAGGCGGAGTCATTAAACCGGATATAACGGTGGTCAGATAATGTCTTCTCATCCACCACCACCTTCCAGACAAGAACACGGCATGCAAAGATGAATCTCAGACGAAACGATCAAGGCTCGCAATCGAAACGTCCACTAAGGACCCGCCACGTTTTCGTACGTACGTGTTTTCAAAACCCCGATCGAGGACGATTAGCCCGACCTCTAGGAGCCATTCTTCCAGTAACGGTAGGGTTGACCCAAGGGCGGATCCAGCTTTGGTGCCAGGGGGGGGGGGGGTCACGTAGTCGTGGTCAATTGATAAGAAGTTATAATTAAATTTTTATAATCATAGATACAAGTAAAAAGTAGATATTTTTAAACGACTTCAAAAAGAAGGAGGTTATCAATTCGGATGTGTACATGTTTTTTATGTATGTTCGTTGTATGTCGTTTATGTATGATTGTATGTCGTTTGTTGCTTTTTATTGTCATATATTATACAGGATGGCTTTTATAAAGGTGCCCAAATTCATACAGGAGGTTCAAACTCGGTAGTATAGCCGTTTATTGAAATAAATATATACATTTTTTTTAAATTAAAATTGGCATTCTATTCCCTAAAAAACAGAACTTGTTGACAATGCGGTAGTCATTCATAAATGCGTCGTACACTTTTGAAACGAACTTGTCTGCGTGTTAGTTATGAATGATCGCGCGTAAAATACATGAGTTGCCCATAAATCACGCACTTTCTGAGATAAGTTCAAATGAATGTAATTAATTAATTACGAGTGATTTTAAATATTTATCATTTTTTACTATAACTTTATTTATGCCTAGAATTTAATTAAAAAAATGGATACACTTAGAAAAGCCTCCCTGTATAGTATTTTTTTAAGTAGCTATTGGTAGGCTTACTTATTTTTGAAATTTCTCTTTATTTATTTCTTCGTTACCAGATTTTATGTAGTCGTATTGGTTATAATATTTTTCAATTCCTCTACTCCGCACCCTGGCTCCACTTCAATGGCAAGTAGCCTAAGACGGGACTATCGGGACACGGGTTAATAATAATATATAATCAACCCAAATGAAAACTCCTAAAATAGCCGTACACAAAAAATTTTATCGTATCGTTTTAAAAATATTTATTCAGTCATTCATTCATTCATTCATAATATTCAGCGTTCGTCCATCTAATCCATCTAATCACAGACAGAATCCACATTCACACCAACGGAACGAACAAACTTACTTCCCAAAGATGGAGTCGCATACTCACGTCCACTAAACCACCACCTCTCACCACCCGTCAAAAACGGTCCACCCATTAAGACCAATCAAACTCGACGCAGTTGTGTTCCTTAATTACTTAGTTCCTATGGCCACATTCCAGCTCTGTCATCAGACCCTGGTTACCATCTAGCACTAAAGAAATCGACAAGACGAATCAAACGAGCCGAAACTCGATGGGGTTCAGTCGTTTCATTACAGAGTGATCATAGGAACCTCACAGAATAGACCTCACAGAAGATCGGCTTAAAGTACTTCTGCGTTTTGTCTGGTGAGTGAGGTAGCCGGAGCACACTTTATTGTAAGGAGAAAATGCATCTGCAACCATATGTCCATGGACGGCTGGAGATGGAGCTCCTTCATAAGATCCTGGTTACCTATGAAATTAATTTATTTATTTATTTGTTTATTTATTTATTTATCTAAGTGAAAGACAAACTACTCGTCAATACGATTCAAATGTACCCGAACGCGATGAGGCTCTGTCATTTCATTGCGAAGTTCCTTTTGCCACCTTCCAGCTCCATCATCAGATCAGCACCATGTCATAAAAATATTGCATTGTCTCGCGATTTACACATGTATACAAAATTTCAGCTCAACCGGTAACCGAGAAGTAGATCAAATTTAATTTGCAAGATTTGATGACAAACATTAAAATTTTGTAAAAATGTTCATAAAATGAAAACTACTTGGCCAAACTATTTTTTATGGGTAAAAATGGCAACTATTCTACATCAAACTAAAGAAGAATCACGTAAATCGGATCATAAATCTCAACGTAATCGGTGTACATACATCGAAAAACAATATACCAATCGAATTGAGAAACTCCTCCTTTTGAAGTCGGTTAAAAATATTATATTAATTTAATTAAATATTGAAGGTACTTACATAAAATCTATATTGTGGCAAAAAATATATAAAAATATTATGTTTAACAATTTTAATTATTGGTCCACCTAGGTCATGTCCCCCCCTGGATCCGCCCTTGGGTTGACCACCGAAAAGCCCCACGCCAACTCTAAAATGTACTATGCCAAGTCGAGCGATCCTCAGGGCTCATTTGGGTTTAATTTTATTTATTATATTTATTAACAAAATTTGTAACATCCTATACAACTCGCGCCACAGCGTCGCATTACAAGCCTCTCCTTCTAACAGTATGTTTTGTCTCTTTTATATTCATTCAACCCATTCATATGCTTTGTGACCTTTACAAATGAACTTTACGTTACGCTTTTATAGGTAAGGGTGTTCTAAAATTCTTTCTTTTGGAAAATTTTATAACTCTGTAAATATTGATGTTTAAAGAATTTAAACGTTTAATACAACTTTAAAAAGTTATCCCCTATATGTGTGTTCATTTATTGTCGCGATGGTTACGACATGCTGTATACGTAAGGAGTTCTAAAATTCTTTGTTTTGAAAAATTTAATAAATCTGTAAATATTGATGTTTAAAGAATGTAAATGTTTAATACAGTTTTAAAAAGTTATCCTTTATATGTGTGTTCATTTATTGTCGCGATTGTAAAGACACGCTGTATATAACAGATAAACTGAATGTAATACCGTTTAGAGTTGTAGAGTAGAGCTGGGAATGTTCATTGACCACTGTAAGTAAGGCAGCTTGGCTGTACAGCTTTATTCAGTGTAACTCTCGACGCTTCAAACAAATTTCGACGGATTTTTTTTATGTGAAAAGTCGCCAAGGGAGCATACGGTTCATCTGATGTTAAGTGAATACCTTCGCCGATGGACATCTGCTACACCCGAGGGTTCCTAATGCTTTGAGAACCTTCTGAAAATTGGTTAATTCTTTACAATAATTATGTGCGATCGAACTTTGACTTTCAGTTGTTTGGAATCCAGTATATAATGCGTTAATCACAGTGCGTGGAAACGAACCAGCGCATCTTTGAAAGACAGCTTAGCCTTTATTTCTTCGAAAATCTCCTCTGGAAGAGGAAGATCTACATACGTGGTGATCCGTTGGCACGAGATCAGGGTTATTTATGGTGGGTGTAGCAACAATTCCCAGTAATAAATAACTTCGCATCGGAAAATCGAGACGGGTAAAAAAAAACTTTAAAAAAATCCACGCAATGAACTTAAAAAGCTAGCGACAACATAGCCATGGCAGAATAATTGAAGTACTAGTACTCTCAGTGATAGTTGACCATGCTTAATAGTGTTTAGTGTTTTGTTTGGAGAAGCTGATAAAGGAGATAAATAATGCCCATGGGCATAGTTGAAGGGCATTTTTCAGAAATTGGGCCTCGAGTACATTAGTCAACAAACGAAACGCTAATACGCATTTGACATCACGCTGCTTTCCTAAATGAGCCTGCCCATTCATGCGTCAGCTTATGCCGCTACTTAGCTACACCCACCACATATGTGTGTATTTTGAAAGGCATAAAGTGCTATATTAAGTCATGTCTTGTATATAACTGTTCTTTTGATTTTATTCCTGGTGTTTGTAAGTACTTAACGCTTTGTGTTGAAAACACAACGGAAGCTCTTATTCGTCTAATTCGATTTATTCATCGTTTTAATTTTTTTAATTGATTTAATTTTTGTTTAGCACATTATCAACAAGCGTCAGACGATGATTGATGTTATATATGTTTAATAGCAGACTATTAAACCGTCTTTTGCTTTCGCTAAAAAATTCTTAACATTAAATTTTTTTGCACATAATACCTGATTGTGCTTTATTGAAATAGTACCTGGATGGCGCAATTTATCTTCGTACGGTATTCTAATGATATTGTTACAGTTACATTGACTGAAATCACGGATAAAACGACGTATTCTAAAAATGAAACCTAGCTAGATCGATTTCTCACCATCGAAAACACCTCCGTACTAAATTTCATGAAAATCGTTAGAGCCTGAGATTCAGATTATATATATACATATATACAAGAATTACTCGTTAAAGGTATTAGATCGATAGATATATTGCTTGTTACAGGAGCTTGTTCCATTTAAAATGAAAATAAACATCTTACTAGACTTATTTTATATATAAATCTTTATTTTCATATTTTAATAGGTACTAGATCAGGGCTAATCGAAGTCAGCAGTAAGACTTGTTTCATTTTTAATAAACAGTATATTATGCTACATAATTTAATTGTTAAGATTATAATAAGTTATGTTTTAGTGCATAAACATTTTAATGAAAAAATTAACGTTACTGTTTGTATTTGCGTTTAATACAACATATCCTGGACCTGTATAACTTAGGAAAGTTAAAATATATGGCAATTTGTTAAAGGTGGTTGGATATTAGTAAATACAAACAACATAATTTATTTAAATTTCATGTATCAAGGTATACCTATACTTGAATTTCCGTTTATCTACAAATAAAAAACAATATGCTAGCCGTGAAAACATACGCAAAATGGATAAAGTTAACAATTTAAACATTGAATGCGTTCCTACGCACACTATTTTGTGGCAACGTTTAAAAGCACTAATGAAATAACTGATTCAACGCTAAAACCTCAGTCATAGTACATAAACACAAATTCCCTGACACAACAATGTTATAAACACATTCAAATGCAATGAAAACAAATTGTAGGTACCTAATAAGGTATGTAATTAATTATATATTATTTGTAATGGCACGATAATTTAGAGTTCAACAATAGCACGGACGATCCGGGAAAAAGATATTGGTATCTACATTTATGTAAGTAGTTTCTACTACATACTCGCACAAACAACACTCTAATAACACTACTTTGTATATATATTTTTATACAAAAGAAAAATTTATTTACACATTATATGGCATACGGGGGTTTGGTCTAATAAAAAAAAACTTATCTACTTAACTATACTGTAAGATACAAAGGTATTTTGCATTTCAGTTGGGAGGAATTTGAGCTTGATTTGTGCTTGATAACTAACCTATAAATCATGTCTTTTGTATTTGCTTTTTTAAATACATAGATAAAATTTTATCTCTTTGTAGATACATATATATATATATATATATATATATATATATATAACGCTATGTGTCGCTTATATTGAAAAAAGATAAGGGCAAGCTTAATTTAAGCGATACTTTTTCTAAGTAGAATCGGTTCCTTAATGGCAAGATGTTTTAAATATAATTTTAAACAATAATAAAATTCCTAATATGGTTTTTGCCCTTATAATAATTAAATCTGTAATATTTACTATACGATTAGGATTACGGTACGTGATAGTTGTTGCATTATATTATGTTAATGGCAATAAATTTTATATATTAGGTATAACCCATTCTTTACAATTGATTTAAGTGTATGCTTGAAAATTAATCTAATTATCACAGTTTATAATTAAAATATAACTCTTTTAAAAACTAAAACATTCGGGAAACGTAAACATAGCCATGCTTAACCTAAATTAATAAATAACTTATATTTTGTTAGTGCGTCATACGAGCACCAAATATGAAATAATATTTTACAAAGTTCCTTTCTTTTTTTCATAACAGTGCCTTTACAAAATATTAAGTAAGACGATAACAATTGGTTGATTTTAAAAACTAATAAATTTCTTAGTTTGAAGCCTTATCAACATGCTAACACTAGCCATCACTCAATGGCACGGGGGGCGCGCGCGCGCTCTATTAAGTATAAAGTCACAAGTGGCGGGAGATCAAACGTGTATGTTCGCGTACGGCCGGCCGGTTACACTGTTGTCTCGTTCCTGCGCAGTGGCTGGAGTTCGCGTTGCAGGTCATTGTAGTACTCGTGGTCGGACATTGATTCCTCCTCGACCGACCTCTGTGGCAGGTACTTGCTCGTCCCCGGCCGCGGCGTGGACTCGCCCACACTTCCCTCACTAGTGCCCAGGGACTCCAAAGGCGCGGGCTCCTCGGTCGGTATGCCGAGAGTTTGCGCCGGCTCGCTTTGATCCGACATCAAGTATTCAGGGTTGTCAACGCATCTCTTCGAACTAACATAACCAGTATAGCGCAGGTCTTGGACGTCCTGTGCCTCTGCTCCGTCTCCTATCAAGTCCATATAGGTGGTTGAATTCTGATTGTGTTGCGGAGAGGGCATCAGATAGTCGTCTTCGTCAAGTGGCAAATTTAATTTCAGATTGCCTACTTGTGCTTCCTTAATTTTAGACATTGTATCGAAATTATTCTCCGAGCCGTCTCTGTTCATGGGGTCACTGCAGTACCTTGAGTTAGAGCCTTCTGATGCGCATACGCGGTTGTTGAAATAATGTCTCAGCTCACCATCAGGATTTGTCTGGTTGTACCTCAGTAGTTCGCGGTCCCAATTTTCAGGTTTGTTGGACCCGTCCGTTGTTGCACCCTCTTGTCCGGCGACGTTGTTTGCCCATGAAGATGAGCAGGGTTTCAAAGAGCCGGTGTGTGTTTCGATTCCAGCGCTAATTACACTGTTCGATGTAGCAGCCCCAGGCGCTGCCTTGAGTTTTGGCTGGAGATATTCATCAGCTTCGACCAAGGGCTCGGGTCCTTCTATGGCTGATGAGAGGTTTCTTATCATTTCCTTTTCATCCTGAAATGTAATAATATGTTTTATATCAATAGGTACATAATATTAGAGAAGGAAGTAAAGCTTTGTATTAGAAATGTCATTTTAATTTTTTGAGTAGTATGTACCAAATGTGTATGTTCTACGCCGACATGTTTTATTAGACGTAACTCAATATCTAGACTCATGCCTTTATTTTTTTGCAAAAGCCAAAAATGACCCAAAAAGTAACAATTGTAATTTTAACTGATAACTTATGCAACGTGGTTCTACTACCGCGACTTCAAATAAACACACATAGAGAGAATAACTTTTAAATTATATTAAACATTTACTTTCACTAAACATCAATATTACCCGAGTTATTAAATTTTCCAAAACAAATAATTTTGGAACACACGACGTATAAAACTGTAATTTAATTTATTTCATTTGTAACGTCACAAAGCATAGAATTGGTTGAATGAATAAAAAAGATATAAAATTGTTAGCAGGAGAGACTTGTATTGCGACGTTGTGGTAACCAATTAAAAAGTCTCTGAATGATTATTACTATGAGTCCGTCAGTTATAGCGTACTATATAGGATGTTATTTTTATTTATTTAGTTTGAAAATATTTTTAATATGTATATTTTTATTATATGAGGTTTTTTAACGTTTATATTTTTTTTAATGATTATTGGCAAGTAGCGTTAGAAGTGTGTTCATTTAAGGTCGTGGTTGTAACAACATGCTGTGTATCTTGCGTCAAAGAGAGAACCTTAATATTCAATATTTAAATAAATAAATTTTCGCACAAGTAAAATTTACAAATACAGGGAGACTTTTCTTAGTGTATCTTTTTTTTAAATTAAATTCTATACATAAATAATGCTATATTAAAATGATAAATATTTTAAATCACTCCTAAGTAATTAATTACATTCATTTGAACTTATCTCAAAAAGTGCGTGTTTTATAGGCAACTCATTTATTTTACGCGCGATCATTCACAACTAATACGCACACAGGTTCGTTTGTGTGCGTGAACAGTAAAATTTAGGTATTTGTGAATGACTACCGCGTTGTCAACAAGTTTTGTTTTTTTGGGAATATAATTATTTGGGCACCTTTAAAGCTTCCCTGTATAAATTAAGGATGCATGTGCTTCATAAAAGTACATTTTTAAGATTTTATTGAATAGGAAATAAATAGCGTTCTTTCTATACATGTATATTATAGGGAATATTAAATACAACTTATTTTACCTGAGTGGAGTAGGACGGCAGACGCATAAACTTGTCCCCGGGAATAACCAGATATCGCCCAGGATCTCTTGCCATCTCTGCAAAAGTCTCGGCAAGCTGTTTAAACGTTGGCCTGCTGTCAGCATCTAGCATCCAACAGGAAACCATCACGCAATAAATATCCAGGGTACATATATTGGGCTGAGGCAATTTTAAACCATTCTCAATTAATTCTGGCACATCTCTGGCGGATATATTTGCATACGGTCTCGCTCCGTAACTCAATATTTCCCATATAGTTACGCCAAACGCCCACACATCACTCTTGTGCGTAAATATCCTGTGCAGAACACATTCGAGTGCTAGCCATTTAATTGGCATTTTACCACCAGCCGCTTTATATTCGTCTTCGTTAATATCCAGCAACTTTGCCAAGCCGAAATCGGTAATTTTAACACAATTCGGCGTCTGGACTAAAACGTTCCGAGCAGCCAAATCTCTATGTACCAATCTTTTCTCTTCTAAATATGCCATTCCGCGTGCTATTTGCGTGCACCAATTCAAAAATGCCTTTGATCCGATCTTTTCCTTGTGCGTTCTGACATAATCAAGCAAGTTCCCGAGCGGCATCAATTGCGTTATAAGCATCATTTGGTTAGTCATACACACAGCAAGTAATTGGAGAAGATTAGGGTGTTCCACGCTTGCCATTATATACGCTTCTTCTAAGAATTCTTTGCTCGTATTCGCCCCGGTACCCTCTTTGAGTACCTTAATGGCCACGGGAATTTTCACATTCTCTCCTTCTGGCACCCATACTCCTTTGTACACTTCACCGAAAGCACCATAACCGAGTGTGCCACCTCTTCGAAGTTCTGCTTCCTTCACAATCCTGAGCTTAGCTAGGTTCGGTTTCACGTTAGTCGGTCGTAATGGTTCGTTGTCCTCACAGCCCGTTAGCACCATTGTCATTTTCACAGCTTCCTTTTTCGCTTTAGCCTTTTGTCTGCACGTATATCCTATGATACCAAGGATCATGATCAATATGAAAGCTAACACCAATATTATTACGAGAACTGTTGGTATGTTAGCAGTTGCCGTGTTATGTGGGCCGTTAGCTAATTCAGAGCAATAAGGCTCTCCGATTGTGTTTTGGAGCAGCTCATCGAAATAAATTTTATTCGGTTTCTCTGGAGGACACGCGGCGGTGCAGTTGAAAGGTTGATTGGGATCTGCGAAGTTCGTTTCGTCGAAGAAAATCTTTAGATTTTGGCATTTGACACAGTCGGTTGACGAGGGGCCTGTGCAACCGCGGCATTCGTGGTGACAAGGAGTACAGATCCTGTTGATTTCATCAGTGAAGTGATCTGTGGGACATTCGTCTTCACACTGATCACCTCTTTTGAAACCATTACATACCTGACACACTTGTTCGTGTATTCCAAAGCCGGTGCACTTTATGCACAAAGGATGGCACTTCCTGCAGACCACTTTCACTTTTCCCTCCAGAAGTTTGACATTACCTACCCATTCGTTATAGTAGCCGTCCGGGCATGGTTCGTTTTCTTTTAGGCAACTTTCAACTGTAGCTTCTACGCTAATGATAGCTTTCTTGCAGGAATAGCAACCTCCTTCACCAACCGTATTCAGAGGGCCCGTGCAGCCGTTGTAGCAATTGTAATGACAAGCCTCACATGTCCCGTTTTCGGATGCGTATCTTGATTCAGGACATTCTGCCACACAGTAGGGGCCGTCGCGAACGTGTCTGCATTTCGTGCAATTAGCACGACTCGGCCCAGTGCATCCGTCTAAGCACTCTGGATGACATTGCTTGCACGTCTTCGGACCAGCTTTGTACAATCTGTAACGAAAGATTTAATTTTGTGAAATCGCTATCAATTTTCTTTTACGAAAATATTATTTCTATTAACTTATCCATTGCATTAGAACAAAGAGATATTTCGGAGTTGAACACACAGTTTAAACGAAAATCGAGTTAGACCGTCGAACCGGTAAGAGGGAGCTACCCACACATAATTCTGTTTTGTAATGTTAATAAGGTTGCCATATTTGATGCCGTCTGACACCAAAGCCATTTTACATTAAAAATAAAAAAAGCAGTTAAATGGATTAATTAAAAGTAAACTAACTAAAGTAAAGAGCCTATATAGATCCCACTACATGGCAAAGCCCTATTCCGTACAGAGGGTATTAGCTGCTATTAATTAAAATAAATTCAAAAAAAAATGCCTAATGGATTTAAACATGTAAGGAAATAGATCTATATATATGCTACATATAATTAATATGATGATACCAATATTAAACGTTTTTGTAATAAATTTGTAATTAGTTGTAACACAACATATCGTGTACATTGTAACTCTATATAAACAATTCGCAATTCGCAAAAAAAAATAGCAGAAATTTTATAGAGATGAATTTACAAACGCAAGAAATTTTATTCGGTTATCTGAAAAAGAATTCTTTGTTTTACAAGCGAACTTGGTAGGAATTCCCTTATGCTAAAAGTTTAATTTTATAGTAATTTGATATGAAATACCAACCCGGGCAGTACACTGCAATTCTGTATGCACGTTTCGCCGAATTTATAATTCTCGCAGGAGAGACACTGCTCAGGACCTGGACCCCAGCAGCCGTCCGAAGAGCATTGCGGATCACACACCAAATTTGCACTTTCTGCTCGACAAAGAGGTAACAAAACAAATTAAATAACTCCAAAGGAGTTTACAAGTTAAATGGTATCAAATGGGGCGCTTAGCATTACGAATAGCGTTGCTGTTAATAAGGTTAGTTTGTAAGGGGAAATTAAAATATGAAAATAAACAATAGGGACACAATTTATAAAAATAAACTTCGCGCGCCAATTTTATAGCATCGCAATAAAATTTCGCAATAGCTCAATTTAAAACTAGTAATTTAAATATGAGGATCCCCACAACGCATCGCATATTGAAAATTTCACTCACCACAAGTCTTCGGGTCTCCATTCTTTTGTATGATTTGCTTATGGTCTTTAGACTTGCCAAGTTTATTCCAAGCAATTTTGTCAGCGAAGCATAGGTAACGATTCTCCATAATGGCAATGGCTCCAGAATTGACTCTTTTTAAGGACTTCAGACCCAATGATCTCAAAGAGGTTTTGACTATGTACAATGAAGCGAATAAATTTTCGACAACTTGGCGTCCACCGATCACTTCTAGATTTCTGAAGTACGAGAGACTCGTAAAGTTCGGGTGGTGCGCCTGCACATTCAGGTAGCCGGTCACCTCGCGGACGGTGCTGAACACTTCCAGGCTGTCCGGTTCCATTTTCGGGTAGCGATCGCCGAACGAATAATCCGGATTGATATGCTGGAAGCCCGTGAACGTCATCTCCAATATTTGTATCGAACCGTCTATGATCGTGCAGTCTTTGAAACTGTCTATGTTCCCGGAATGGATGGGTTTCTCCGCCCTACACGTCTTTGGGCAGGTAACGTTGCACGGTATGCATTCGCCGTTCACGGCGGTCTTGTTCGGCGGGCAGCTTCTAACGCACGCGCCGTTGTCTTTCAACAGATGCTCCGGACAATTGCGCACGCACGTCGCCCCGTAGGCGTACTTTCCATTGGGGTTCGGCTCCCATGAGTAAGTCGTTGGATTGTATATTTGCATCGGTGGGCATTCTTGCGAGCAGGTGCCTTCGTCGTAAAAGTTCCGGCACGCTAGACACTGGCTCGGCAGAGGGCCTGTGCAACCCCCGGCGCAGAACGTGTTGCAGCAGTCCCGCGGATTGGGCCCGAAGCAACGGCCCTGGGCGCATTGTGGGCTGCAGTTTGGTTTTCGAGAATTTTTGACAGTTCTCCGGGCCGTCACCCCAGCAGCCCGCCTCGCAGCTCGGGTGACAATGACACTCCCTCTCCTGTGCGTTGAACGTGTACACGTAGACGTACGTTGCGTTCACTCCCGTAATGATCTCATCCCAGTTTATCGTCTTCACGTGGCAGAGATTGAAATTGTTGTATATCCCGACACTACCTCTTAGTACATCTCGCAGCGCTGGCAACTCCAGAGTGAACGCCGAAGACATAGTAACCATAAGCGCAAACTCTTCATCCCTGACGTTAAGCTTGAATAAGGTCCGCCCGCGGATTATTTGCAATTGGGGTAATATGATTTGCCGAACGTTTACATGTGAAATAAGAACATAGCCGGTCACTTCCCTTATATGCTTCAGGAAGGACAAATCCATCGTCTCATTATGCAACCACGTCAGCTCCAGATTACCGTCAACGTAAGTGCAGTTGGTGAAGCGATCTCGAAGGTTTCGGTAGTGGGTGTCACGGTTCGACGGAACCGACATTCGCCCGTTTGTTCCGATGCATACTGTAAATAAAAAAAAATTGGTATTAATAAAAATAACTATAAAATTAATACACATAAAAGTATCATTCAATATTTTTCCAGTTACAAATAGTTTTGTCCACATGTTATTTTCGAAATTAAATATTTTAAATCAAGTTTTAAGTTATCATCAAAAACATCATAAGTGTTATTCGAACTTCATTCGAACTTCACAGCTCGATTGGGGAACACACGAAATGTTTGATATAAGTGCGATAATATTTTATATCAAAGTAATGCGTCTCATAATTTTCAAAGAGTAACAGGCGTGTAACCTTAGTTGTATTTGTTTCGAGTCGATGCATCGGCAATGGAGGTTGCGATCGCTTCTAATGAAGAGGCGGCGCCGATGTGTGGGCGGGCTCAAGAGCCAGTTTCATCTACTACGATACACGTAACACCGCTATTTGTGACTAAACTATTAAAATGGCCGATTTACAATGCCGGTTACTTTATCCAATAGTCTTTTAAATGTAATAATTAATTGTGTTCAATCTTGACGTTTTATATTACGTCCCTATATCTAATACGCGGTTTCATTCTAACCGTTCGTTTAAATCACGAATCAGTGCTTTACTTTTCTATGACGTCATGGTAGGCAGTTAATAATAATGGCAGAACCTTAATAACAATTGTGGCAGCGCAGCGATGCACACAGAAAAAAAATCCTAACATTGTAGAAGCAGCGACGGAGTCGCAAGGTGATTTTTACCTGTCTCGGTAAATAATAGATTTTTGAGAGGCTACAATTTCTTTGTGGAATGCGGGAACCAACTTGAAATAATACTCTAGTAATATATAATAAAATAATACTCTAGAATAATAATACTAGTGGTACGAAAGGATGAAAATTTAAAAATCCATCAGATTGCATAGCGTTGCAGTGAAACGTGTTCCAAATATGTAAATTATTAAATTGTACAAACGCTGGTTTAGAACAAAGGAACAAAAGTAATTTTTCAAAAATATAATTAATTTTACTCCTTAAAGGCTTTAAATACCGCTCTTTCAATAAATATTAAATCGTTACCTTCTATTCAATCAGTGTTCATTTAGATTCATACAAAAATGTAAGTGACATTTTACGTAGCGAATAGGGTATTCAAATAAAGCGGGGAAACTTTCGAAAATATCATACATATACGATAAAACCCGGTCAAATAAAAATTCCCCTGTCACCTCGCATCGGCACCGTTTAATGCACACCTATGTTATTTGGCTGAGGTAACTCCCACGTTACACGGCTAAAACCAAATGTCGTGCGGAACACGTTTGTGATTTATGCCGGTGGGTTTTTGGTCGCATAGCGCGTGGGCTGTAGAAATCCGGTGTCCGGTCGACCCAGATGTGGTGGCGATGACATGGGTGATACCATTGAAGAGTGGTGATTACGTCGCGCTCGCTGGTTCTGTTCGATGGCTGCGTCCCGGCTGTTGTTAAAAATGTTGCATTTAACAAATAAACACAATACGCAGACGTCGTCGGCTAATTAGGCACTAAAATTTTTCAAAGCGCGAAAACCATTGTGGTCTTGTTCAATGCATATGAACTATTTAGAATTCAACTGCTAGTAATTGTGATATGAACTGAATGTATCGTTTAAAAATCAACTGAATACTTATATTTATTTAAGAGAAAGTTTATAATTTCATCATGTTCTTAATTAAAAATGGAACGGGCATGTTGTCGGAGGTCTTTCTTAACCGATCTCTTAACGTGTGTCCCTATAAGTGTAAAGCTTGGCAACTGGTTTGTCTCAGGGCAATGTTTTTATCCAGTTACTTGCATTCTGAGGCATTGGAACCAGTTTTGTTCCACTACCATTTCATTCTCGTAACACGACCTTTCACTATAATCTCTTATTGTGGGCCGTAGCTCGTGCAGCTAGTTACTCACGCGTCCCAAGTGTGAAGAATAAAAGCAGCATTGGACTCGGAACACCGACGTTTCTCGAATACGACCGGATAGTAACGGTTCGGAATTTTATTTGTTGCACTCGGGGCAATAACATATTTTATGTCGTTTGTTGCGATACCAACAACTCCGAAAATATTCGCCAGTAAAAGTAACCGTCACTTCATGCCAAAATGGGAAACCAGTGTAATGTAATTAATCGCGCCGTTATTGCGATGCTCTCACTTAACTGGTTGAATATACATGATCTAAAGCCGGCCATAACTTTGTCTGAGATAATTTCTTAAGTTTTGATTAAAGTATTATATTTTCGTTTTCATCCGTTAACTGGTACAATCTAATATAAATAAAATAATGCGTTTAAAAAGTTTAGATACTTGGAATTGATTTATCATTTTTATATAGTAGTAAGCTTCGGTATTAGGCATTAAAGCAAGGTTATTAATAAAAAAGCCACGCATATCGCGGCGATCTGATTAAAATTTAATGTGGCCGTAAAAAAACAAGTATTATAAATTTCTTTTATAAATTTCGCATGAAATGAATGAATGTTGTTTGAAATGGTAATAAATGACATCTACCAGTTAATTAAAAAGCATTTTATGAACAAAATAAAGTTGGATTCTGATTAGAAGTGTTTTTATTTCTCCCTTCTGACTTTTCACTCAACGGCTTGTTCCTTACTTGTCTATGACTAGATAATAAATTGTGAAATATCGCTGTTAATTTTTAATTTAATCTACCTACTCATATGAAGATTGGCGGCAATTATAAATCTTGAGTCATTCACTATGCCTTACGTCATTTTTATCAAAAGAGGTTTTATATATTGGCAACCGGTTAAATTGAGGGTATTAATTACAAAAAAATCCCAAAACAAATTTCTTAGTATTAAAATATTCAACATCTGTGTCGTTATATTACTAAATAATAAGTAAAATAGTTGATACCTGAGAAGGAGTCAAAGGCCTAGATATTATGTTTAATAAGAAAGTGAAAAAATTAACTATCACACAATTATGTCCTCTGTTACAGTTACAAGGTTCTACAAAGTTGAATTAATTAATTGAAATCTATTCATACACTCGTATCTTTTTCTAACGGATCAACACATAACGGATGTCGCGGATGCGATAAGTTTAGGCTTTTCTCGTCGCATATCTATCTTATCTTCATACAATATATAAAACTAAAAATGAATAGATAAATGATGAAAAAACACGTACTAATAAAAAAAAAGAAAAGCACGAAATTAAAGAAAAGCGAGTCCTATCTGATCGATATTTTCTTGAACTTTAAGGCGTCACTCGACGGTTTCCAGTGAATCGCTAATTCAAAGTACTCTCATAAGATATTACAAATAAATCCCGTAAGTATTTTTTTTTAATGCGAAAAGTTGTCAAACGAGCAGACGGTTCATCTGATGTTAAGTATATACCGCCGCCCATGGACATCTGCCACACCCGAGGGTTAAAGATGGGGTTTTGAAAATTGGGGGCTCCGGCTACCTCACTCACCAGACGAAACGCGAAAGAATTTGTCATACTTCAACTTTACGCTGGTCTTCTGTGAGGTTATGGTACTTACCCGGATGGGCCATTCGTGCTACAGCCGAGGCTGCTGCGTGGCCCTACCACCGTTGATTTTTACCCCCTACCCCTACCAAATTTGACATAATTATAGAACATATTCTAAACCTTTCCACAGACGTTTGAGATGTGTGGTTAAATATAGGATAATCCATAATATATGGTAAATCTTGGCATTTATTGAAAATATTAATGTTACTCGTTTTATTGAATTTTATACAAAGTAAGGTAACCAAAATAGATTATAATCGCATTCGCCTCAGAGCTAGTCATACCCAAATACTATATTACTCGTAACAGCGCGTTGAAATAAATTTAAAAGTATTATTATTATTTAAAAAGTTTTGTATTTTCAACATCAACTAATAGTTTGTATCACGGCGTTGCGAGACCGAACGGTATGGTTTAATTTATTAAGTGAGTATATTGATGTTATTGAGTTCGAGTTATAGCATTCGTGATTAAGAAACAAAGAGAAACAATAACAATGTTGATAGACCTGCGTAGAGGCTTGATTTCTTGAAATCGCGGCCATGCATGGTATTTTTACATGTATGTAGGAGCCATATAAATGTTAATGCTCTTATAAAGCAGAATATAACAAATCTGCGCGCGTTGTACGCAGCACGCGTATGGACTATAATTGTTATTGCAGTTTTCCTTGGTAACGTAATAAAATTAATATGTGTATTGGTATGGCATTTTTTCCTGTATACTAAGTATGTTATTAAAAACACACATGAGTTATTTGTATTAGACTTTACTATTCATAAGATAACTTGACATTATATCTTAGCCGTTCGATAATATTATCCTGTGTTTCCAAGGAAATTTTGACATACAAATCGCAAATTATGCGATGACATTTAGCGATATAAAATAGATACAATATTTTTCTGCGGGGTACACAGCTACTTCTCCCGTGTATAGTATATAGCATATTAGCGAAAAATTGCAATTATAATATTAGCAATTGCGCCAATTAAAATTATTTTTCAACAGAAATAAACTGATTAACAACTTTATTAATGAAGTTCTGAAACAGCTTCGAGTCTAACATCAAGTAAATACTAAAATTTATAAAAGGGGTATTAGGGGTATTATTATTAGGGGTATCTTTTATAAACTTGCTATGAACAAAAAAAAGGAACACAAAAAGGATTTTTATTACTGTTTCGAGAGATTCTTAGTACGTTTTTTTGTTCAAGGTTTTTATAACTCCTTTTTAATGTACTTGGTGCTTAGATTAAACACTTGGCTGCTACCCACCAGCTCTGGTAAATTTGTTCCGAACAAAATTTTTCTGGAATATTTTTAACCGACTTCAAAAAGGAGGAGGTTCTCAATTCGATTGGTATATTTTCTATCCTATTCTTGTTTTTGCGTCATAATAGCAACCATACGTAATCATTTTTGTATCGGCCGAAGGTTATGCTTCGATCCCGACATGACATATGTTGGGGAGTTTGGAGTAATTATCCGGATCCACGTTTTGTCGTTCGTGGACAATACTTATCTCGTGCATATCTTTACGCAAGATACTGAACACACACATCGCAGCGCGTTGCCACAGACCTCTGACGCACTCTTCTCAAGCGAAACAGCGGTCATGTTGCACGTCCCATGCCGAAGGATTACGAGAAAAGATTGACCTACGCTTCCAGACAAACCTAACGAAAGTGATTTTAATGAGAACAGAAACACAAGTGAATTAGTGAATGTTTGTCTGTGCTTGAAGTTGCGAAGATCTTCCATTCCTTAATCGATTGTATATTTCTATTTCAGAAAACATATCCACTTGACATATATTCATCGATTTATAAAGAACTTTGGTTGATGTATAGACACAACAGAAAATATAACGAAAATAATGTTTTCCCAGTATCTGGGTTTGTATGTTTATAATATGCATTTTCTAGAAGAATCTACATAAATCGGCAGATGTCGCTTCACAATGGACGAAAAATGAGGAAACTTTTACATCGACTTTTGTATCAAAGAATTTAGATTAAATGTATTAAATGAAATTAGTTTATGGATTTTATGGGGACAGTCTGTTCCGTGACTATAGTAACAGGCTGCAAAGGAATCGAAACGTCGAGAATTAAAAATCAAAATTAAAACGCGATACAACCCGTAAACTAGTTTCATTTGGTGAAACTATTTTACGGATTGTATCGCTATGATCTATAATATTCACGTAAAAATCAATAAATTAAAATATGAAACATTTTGTAGAAGTAATTACATGTAGGTACACACTTCATAAAATCGGAAATGTAGCAGAAGTAAAAGTGAAGTTTTCGTTGGGGAATTGAAATTTAAATTGAAATTTTCAATTAAAATTTCAATTGTTATATATACATACGAATTGAAATTTCTCTAATGTATTTTCAATATCTAATGCCTATTCGATTCGAAGCGTGGGTTTTGTTAATTGAAACATATTCATTATTTATGTAATCTCTAAATATTTGTTGACGAGAGTGAAAAGTATCTACGACCAGGCACCAAAATTTCAAGTGTTGTTAACACTTGAAATTTTCTCTCGGATGTTTCGCACCAAAACACCGTGACAAGTAGTGTGACTTGGATAAATTTAAGTAATCACTTAAATGTTAGTGCTTATTATTACGCTCAGAAAAGAGTGACACCTACTTACAATAAATAATACACCAGTGAACGCACGAAATTGCGGATTTGGCAGCGAACGACCACAAAGTACCCGCAGTCCACCGTTATTTGAAAATTGTTAATGGCATAGTATATTAGAAAACATTATTGTTGAAACTATCGGAGGGCTCCAACGAGTTCGGACTCATATCCGCACCCGCGTATGACGACTACCTCATACCAGCTTTCCGAGCTATATAAGGCTACGTCTGTTGACTCGAGATAAGCTTTGTTTGTTTTATACCGGCGATTAGTTGGTACTCGGCTTTATACCTTACGGTTTTATGGTGCTATTTTACGGTCACTGCGTTCGTATTAACAGCACTCGTTGTTAATGATGTTATACTGATAGCATTAGTGGAAACGGTCCCGGGGGGCGGTGTCTGCACGTTTCTGCTGAACCCGCGTATCGAATGGCCCGCTGCGGGAACGGGGCTCGGCGACGCTGACGGCACTTACTCTTTCCTTTGACGAACTCGGAGTGCTTGTGCCGAGCGGGCACGACGTGGTGCACGCGGTGCGGCCGCACGGCACCCGCCGCACCGAGCGCCCCGAAGCACAGGCACCATAACAAGGCACGCGCAGCCAACATGCTGCGACATCACTCGCGGATTGGCACGGGACACGACCGTCCGACACAGGCTTCCATCGTGCACTGGCCCGCACCGGTTTTCGAACCTCTGCGCGGGCGCAGCCACAGACCTACGCGATGCGCGAACGCATATGTGCTAGGGCGGGAACTACGCCGCCGACGCCGGCGTTAATTCAAATTCATTTCGATGAACTTCGCCGAATTTTCACTGTAGCCTCGAAATAATCAAATTTATTTCGACAATCTACACACTACGGCGGCTCTGATTCAACGGTGATAAATCGCATAAAATAATAGGAAACAATATAAGGAAACATATTTTTTCCGTGTATTTAAAATTATGGTCGCATAGAAACTGAATTTGGTTAAAGTTCAAGTTAAAATCGGTTATAAATGATGTACGTATCTAGAACTCTATTGCGTCTATGGTCCGCGCTGCCCTCTCAGTCACAAGCACAGGTAAACGTCGAGAAGGACGCAGGTATGCCGCCACAGCCGATACGCTGCTGGTAAAAAAAGCTACGTAACAAAAGTTTTATAACTACGCATTGTAGCCCGTGCTATTACTGATACGAATAATAATTGAACTCCGGTTCTGAGCCTAAAGCAGTTTTCACCGACTCACGTTGCCACCTTTCGACTAGATTCGGCGCGAAAGCCTATCGACGCTCCGGACGAAGTGGTAATGATAGAGCGTGGACATTTCAATTTACATCAGCACGATCCAATGTGATTTTCAGTTTTGTACAACAATCAGTGATAAGAACACCGCGACACACGTTTAGTTAAAACTTCGGCCACCGTCAGGCGTCACGCAGCTTCCGTTTCTAGAAACTTCCCTCCGAGGCAGGTGCTGGCAGGCTTCAAAGTTTTATTACTTAGAGCTCTTTTATGATAATTAGGAAAAAAAAGATTCAATAATGTGGAACCGAACACAAATGTTGCTAAAAACCTGTTAAGAAGTTTCGTATTTCCTTAATGAACTCGTGATAAAACTTGACTCGAAATGCAAAAAAAAAATATGCTAATCGATCTTTCCGTTAATTTTCAAATTTTAAAGAGCATTTGAAGAGAGTAGAGTTGACATGACGAAATACTTATTCACGCATGGTAATTTTAACATAAAACTAAAATTATGTCAATATGGCACGTGTAAATAATTAAATTAATTTTAAATTTATCTCGTTGCATTGATCAGTATAACAATTTTATGATTTTGTTTTGAACAATTTGACACTAATATTATACTAACAAAAGGAAATTATTTATCTGAACTTGAATTTATAAACAGTGATCCGCGTCCGTGCTAAAAACTCTAAACCCCTTTATTTTGATGGCTTCCACTTTGCTGAAATAAATAGGTTGATGCATATCAATTTTGTTCCTATTATCATTTATTTATGTTCTCACTAAATTAAATGTAGACTCAATATTTGATACGAGTATTTTGAGAAGACTGTCAATAAATCGTCGTTACATTAAATCATGATGGTAGACAATTAGAGATCATTATAAACAGAACGCTTGATTCGCCTCGACAGATTGCGCGTTGGAAACGGAAAGCGCGCGTTGAACTCTTTACGAAAGTCGAACTCTAAACCGCACGCCGGTAACTTGACAAATGATAGAAGCGGGCGTTTCGAACAGTTCGATATACATTACTTGCGTTACGGAGAACCCGGCGCTACGAGCTTCTCGTTAGCGGGCAATGTAAATTGCTTTTAAGCGTTAGATGCATAATAATCTGTCCTACTGGTTATCGGTAGGCGCCGAGGCTGCAGCGAGTTCAACTCGCATTCCTGAACTAAATTCTAGATTGCTAGGTAGGTCTTTAGGTATGGATATTTTAAGCGTGTTCAATAACCAGTTCTAAGCAATAAAAATAGGATACTCTGTACCTATTGCTTCGGATGAAGAACTCTTAAACTTTTTAAAGTCATCAATAATCAACGTTTCAGATCAGCAACAACTTTTGTTATTTCCATTCACTTCGCTGTCCATAATAGGTACTTAATACAGAGAAATATCAGTTCCTCGTCAGACTTTGCAATGCCAGGATTATCTGTTTACTTTTCTATTGCGAACGCCTAGAGCTCAATTTTCAACGATTTGTAACGCAGGTATAATATGAACGTGGCCCTTATAATCCGCCTACATACGCCTTCGACGAAGAACAATAAGATAAAGTCGAAGAGTTAATATGAATAAAGCACTTATAAAGTATGCTGAAGATGATAAACATCAAAATTTTAATAGACTCCATACAATCGCACCCATGTTGATAAGGACAGCACATGGCCGTTATCACGTCATTACTCTGTGGTCACAAGAGCTGGCACATTTATCTGCAATGGGCAAAATATGGCAACGAGCTGATTTAAATACACCAACACCAAATCTATGGGCATCATGTTACAACAATTTATAAACTAATTAACAATTATATTATACTTACATTGTTTTTTTGGTAATACATTAACAAGGATACGCGTAATAAGATCGTCATTATAAAGCCTTCGTTTAGCGATTAGGCAGCCATCCCTTCTATATCCACCCTTGCCTCAATTAATCGAATCGATTATCCGCTGAATACAAACAAGGATTTTTAATGTAAGCAGGCGTCGCGTTAGCATTCCGTTTACGTATAGAAGCAATAAGAAACTGTTCAATTACAAATTAACAGTTTACACATACCGACTCGTTGACGCGCATCGGTATTTATCCCTAAATCTTTTTCAACGTTAGTGTGAGAAATGTTTAATGGGCGAAAAGAAAACTGTTCAGCCTGTTTCAGTTCAATCTTGAGCCTTGCATCTCTCGACACACATCTTCACAAGTCGTCTGTAAACGAACGAACAAAACTATAACCGTGAAAAATATATTAAAAGGATCCTTTAACTCCCAGCAATGAACAGTAATGCAGGAATCACCACTCATTATCGCCTTTATTATTTATTGCCTTATTACCAGTTCTAATTTAATCCCAATTGAGCAAGTCATATTAGGGAACGGTTGTCGTTATTTATTTTTTTAGCTTTCGCTTCATGTGATAAATTCAAAGTTTTATTTTATCTCATGAACACACGGACATGAAATAAATTCGACGTAAGTTCATGATGAATAATCCATAGTTTAATTTCTATTTGATATATTTTTAAATAATGATAAAATATGATGAGAAATTAAAAAGACTGAATGTACTCATCATGTATGAAAACTCTAACTAGCCAAAAACAGTTGACATTCTAAAACATCCGAGTTCGAATGTTTCGAATAAGTTCATTATTTTTCGTGTAGCTGGAAAAACAGCGCGTCGTCTCGACGGCTGGACATTCAACAAAGGCAACAAAGGCCCCTCGAACCACTTGACTGTTTTGTGTTGCTACAATAGGCGCTTTGATTTCTTCTATTGTGGGAGCAGGTAACAGGTAACGGCTAAACGCACCGTCCCTCCTCTGCTCGTACTCGACGGGATTATGTAATGGATACAGCAGTTCGTTTCGACCATCTTACTCTTCTGGATATATAATCTCTATTACTAAAATCTCTATCCCCAAATCTATCAGCTGAAACTTGAAACACTTGAGCTTGATATCTGGTTAGCTTTTATTTAAAATTGCAGCTGTAACTTGTTTAGCCGCATACTAGAATTATTTAAACAATCAATAAAGAGCATACTTAGATATGTAAAATAAAGCGAAAACATGCGATATATCGACAACTTTCGGTTGCAAAATATTTAAAAATACATTATTTTGTTTGTCTTTTGACATTTTTATTAACTAAAAATGTATTTTCTTGTTTTCGTGGAGGACAAATTTATTAGTGTTAAAGGTGTTGTGTTAACCTCCGGTACTTTGATCTCTAACCTGAAATACCGGACCCATAGTTGTACAAAAAAGTACAGAATCGTTAAATAATTTACTCAGGTCCAAAACCAATCAAGAGGCCGATACGATGAGGTAGCTATGAAATCCAGAAAAGGTGGAAATCTTATGGATAAAAATTGGAAACAATGTTAGTACATGATAAGACTATAAATTACTGATAAGCTTATTGTTGTACATGGATATCGCAAAGGATATCCAATTAATTATTATAAACATTTATGAACATGTTTAACGGCTAATTACATATTCGTAAATAAAACATAAGGACTGTGTACTACTCGTTTTATTATTTAATGAAATGTGATCGGTATATAATTTGATGCCAAAAATACACTGCGGCGTCGATACATTTAACGAATATCCGCAGTTATTCAAATAAGACATATGTATATTCCTGGTGATAAATAAAAACATAAAACTATTAATTACTACGAGGCCCCATAAAAAGTTTTATATTAGTGGATTCTTTGGTTTCGATGTACGTTCGTGTTCGTACCCCACTGTGACGGGGTTGTAGATACGGTTTTATGATTTTGACTATTAATTTGTTCCTTAACCACTCTCTGCTTTCGGCCTTATTTTTATTGTGTTTAAAGATCAAAATCGTTACCGAGGTTTCATGAAAATTTTGTATAATATCACTTGGTAACAAACAAAAAATGGTACAAAACCTTTTATCATTTTCGACCCCAGCGGTTTGCCTTAATCGTTTTTATGCTAAGATTTATTACAAGTTATAATTATCAATCTACAGTATCCTTGGTATCGACAGTCATCATCAAATATCACTCCCATCTTTTGTTACTTAGACACCATTAATTTGTTCGAGATAAGTTTTTAAAGCTTTATTTTATATTTTTTAAGATTTTAAATCCGGTTTTAACGAACTTGTGGCTAAATATATACCTTAATTTGTTGTTAGTGATGGCATTTGAGTATTTACGACTTCCACAGTATCTGGCTATTCCACCTAAATATAACTTTGATTTACATAACTAAAATGTCGAATATTTTTATTTTTGTACTTTTCTTACAGCAAAACAGACATTTACAAAACAACACGTAAAGAATGCATAGCAGCCTCGAGATATGCATCCAGTTTTATGCGGTGCTCAGCAGCAATTCACATGGTAATGTAAAATATTCGTGGCATCCTAAACTTATGCATGTCCCCAGGACATGTTAACAAACCTTCCCTTTAAAGCCATATCAAGAAGTGTCTACGTAAAGTATTTCATAATTATTATATACATTTTACAGAGAAGTTACTAAATATACTCATCATGGTTTTCATTTCATTTGCATATATATAACGGAAAAGGAGAAAATACACTTAAGTGTTACCTACCTTAACTGTGACTTCGTCATGAGATCAGTGTAGATAATAAATACTTCGTATGTTCAGTTCTGAAATTATAATGTTCCCGACAGATGCACTTTTGACATACTGCACGAACAAAGGACTGGCTTGTATTCACACGCTTCACACAAAAGATCTTTTTTGCTTCTGATGAAGATTCCAAACGAAATCTAAACGCGAATAACATTGTGGGAGCAAGCTTCAGTCTGACGTGAAGAATTTTTTTGTAAAAAGAATAAATCTTACATTGATCGATATATAAATCGATAGAAGGTAGGTATGGACTGCTTTCGACAGTTATTTTTGTCTATGTAAAAGTATTTTAGTATTATTTGTACTTTGGAATATCTAGAGTTATTTGATTTGATTTGTGATATTCTTATTACTTTATTCTCATTAATTTATTTCTTTAAAAATATATGTCGCCGTATTCAGGAATCATCAAAATAAATTGTACATTCCCAGTCGCTTTTGTCTTACCCGTGTATACAACAGGCTTTATCTCTTGGACTCCAACCTCAGTTCCCCACACTACAAAAAACCCCAAAGGTAAAGTGGCGCGCGCGCAGGTAATGTCGGCCATTTTGTTTTACCTTTTTATTGTTATTCTTTTCTCAATAATCCGCATGTTTTATGGCTTGTTAGGTGATTTGTTACAACGCCTGTTGACTAATTAAATTGCGGGAACACCAGTAGCGGGAATTGTTGTTAATTCATAAACAACAATTCCCATAATAACATTTTTTTCATTTTAAGACGACAGAAAGAACATTACGTCTAATAATAGGTATACTGATTATATTGACACGTGTTTAAGTGGATCATAATTTTAATAATATTGTTCAATTGGCTAATGAAGTTCCGGGATATTAGATGATCTTACTATATATTAAGCTTATTAATACACGTACACCTTTAAGTGTCTATGCAAACTAGTAAACGTGATTTTTGGTGTAAAAAGTAAAATTGAAAAGCCTAAACATGACCCAGGGCTAGGCAAAAGCCTTTTTTGTAGAGAGGGTAATAGGACATAGTTCACCATATGACCCCTACTGCGGATGGGCAGATCTCACATATCTGCAAAATAGTTTCTTTACGTTTTTCGAAAATGTACAGGTTTCCTCACATTGTTATTCACTGCTGAGCATGCGATAAGTCAGCGCTTAAAACTAACATTTTCATTGATGGGATATGAATTAAGTATAGGGATATGAATTGAGTATGTTGAGTTAAAAGCGAACTCGGATACAGTTATCATGGTTCAATTTTTGGCATGTGTGAATTTTTTATTTCTATATTTAAACCTTATCAATTAAAAAATATATTTATACATAATATATTTTTTCAATTCATATTAAATATTGTTTACTTTATTTAATGAGGTTTTTTAAAAAGAATATAAGCATAATATGATTCCTCCATATTTCACTGTAACCTTTAATTATAACATATTATTCCTTACTTTTATCAAAGATATTGACTGCCTTAAATTTAATATTTAAATAGCTACTAACATATATTTACCAACATATATTTACCATGAGTATATTTTGGTCATGTTTTCGAATCAATAATGTGGTCAACTGCCTTTTTATGCATATATTTCGTAAACACGGATGTGTATTTACGCTGCCTGCACTAAAATAGATAAAATGTTCGAGGTATTGACTGCGTGGAGTAACGTAGCATTAATTAATTCTTAGCTCAACGGTCACTGATAAATTTGAATGGATGAAGTTGCCATCCATTCAGATATGTCTGTATACCATAATTTTATACTTTTTTTCAAAGAATTTTAATTTATATTTGAAATTATGGAACTATTTGGATACCTAAATTGGTGTGATGTTGATTTTCTTTTTCTTTTTCTATCATATTTCGAAAAAAATAATATTTTTTGAGTAGGAGCTTTGAATACATTTCTACTGCATCAGGGGCGCTACTTAAATAAATTTAAGTGAACAAACGTAAAGTGAACTAGAACTTGCTCGGAAGGAATATATCAAAAACCAGTTTGTTGAAAGGAATTCTGTTTCTAAGAATGTTCGTTACACAAGTCTATTTTTATTAACGAAAAACAAAACCTACTTCAAACGTCTCGCCGTGTTCATTTATTAATTGATTTTCAGGAGATCCCTAAGTATCCCTGGAGCCTAAGATCCAATACCAATGAAATTATATAATATATTATGGGACCACATGAGAAGCGCATGATTTCAAATAAATAAAGAATCATCAAAATCGTTTTAGCCAGTCGAAAGTTATGAGGTAACAAACATAAAAATTAATGCAGTCGAATTGAGAACTTCCTCCTCTTTTGAAGTCGGTTGTAAATGTTTGTTTGCTCAAACTTTCGTTATATAGATATAATAAACATGAATCTTGATCGATGCCGATAAGTAATGAAAAATAATCTATTGTAATATTTTAAAAACTTCTTAGTCGTAAAGTTTGATACTTTAATATTTATAGAGTTTAGTAAGTTCAATACATAAAATACGATACTGTGGGCTATACAGTATTAACATAAGATTTATATGGTACACAACTGTCGTGTAAACAAAGCTATCATGTGTGCAACACATTAACTTATTATGAAATACTTCAGGTAAATATTCCGAGAGGGCACTTGATAAAGCGATGAAGGATAAAAACGTTCGCTGTACAAATGGAATGGTGTTGACGTCACAAACTCTGCGGTTTATATCCTCTAGGGTTGGAGAAATTGCCGGGCTGGCTTAAATCGCTAATCGCGAAGTATAATTATGTTATTATTATTTATAGGGCTGTGATCCGCGATCGGCGCGCGATTTTTCATTCAGTACACTCGAGCGACTCGAGGTCGATCCCCGGTGCTGGCACCAATGAAATTATTAATTGTAAGTGCTGTCTTACCACGCTCAGCGATTAAGGAAAACATCGAGACCTGCATATTTTCAACATAATAACAAAAAAAATTCGAAGTCCTCCAATCCGCAGTGGGCGTAGTGGACTATGCCCTAATACCCTTTGTACAGAAGAGGCCTTGTTACTTTATTTAATTTTTTATTATTATTTATACCAACGGCAGTAAGTCATGGCTAGCTTACGGCAATATCGTTCATCATCACTATATTTAATAAAATTCTACGTATTACTCTTTCAATCTATAGCATCACTATTTCACTTGTAAATTCTTTATACCTTAATGTTTCGATGGAAAGTAAGTGATATATTTACTATTTACGTGTTACACAATTGTGTACTATTCCTACCGATAGCATTAGAGGTTAATTGCAGTTGATTCGGTATCTGTGATATAAAGCAAATTTGTTCAGAGATGAAAGTAGATTTTATCTTGACATTTTAACAACGGGAGCGCTTGATGAAACGTATAAAGTAAGTCGTAGAGAAATACAGTTTGTATTATGAGTTAGTACCATGTTGCAAGCAACGTTAGCGGACGTATCAAAAAGGTTGACGAAAGATATTATCGAGGAGGCCTTCAAATCGAGAACTAACAGTAAAGGCGTCATCGAAAAGGTGCAGGTGACGAGAGCGGCCCCAATAGGAGAAGGCTTGATTAGCGCAGTCTATCGTATACTCATCAAGGGAAACTATTGCACCGTATCTTTTATAGCAAAAGGCTTAGTTCAGGATGCGTTGTTACGAAAAACTCTGAATTGTACCATATATTTCCAACGGGAAGTCTTATTCTTTTCTAAAATTCTGCCAGTACTAATCGAATTGCAAAAATCTCTGAATGGCAATGAGAGGATAGAGAACAGCGTACCCAAGTGTTACAATCATTTTATTGACGGTGTTAATGACTACATACTAATGGAGGATATGTCTGAAACTGGTTGCATTTCTATTTCACAAATGCCATCGGAATTCGAGAGAAATGAAGTGTTGAGAGTATTGGCCCATCTGCATTCAGTGTCAATGGCCTTGAGATTGAGGCGAACTCTTCTTTTTACAAAAATCGCAAATGAACTACCCGAAGTGTACTACTACGAGAAGAACTGCTCTTGGTATAAACCGTACCTACAGAGGGCACTGGAAATAGACATGGATGTCTTAGCAACAGACGAAAGTTTTTGCAATAGTATTTACTTTGAAAAATTCAAGAAGATTGCTTCAGACGATCCTTATGGTCAGCTAATGAAATTAGTAACGACACGCGGGGAGCACGCCGTCTTCAACCACGGTGACGCTTGGTGTCCAAACTTTCTCTGTTCAGAGAGACGGGCTGTAGCGATCGATTTCCAACTGCTCCGGGTGGCGTCCCCGGCAACGGATTTGTCTTACTTTATACTGCTATGCGGGAACTCGTGCCGAAGCAGGGACGATTTTGTGAGGGCAATCGACGTGTACCACTCGCATTTGTCGTTTTACTTGAGGGATATGAACATAACGGTCGAAGAAGTATTTACAAAACAAACGTTGTGCAGCGAACTAAAGACGTACGGAAAGTTCGGACTACTGGCAGCCGCTACATCCATACCGCTGTTGGCAAGCGACAGATGCGACGTGTTGAAGGCATTCGAGTCAGAGTACGCTGATCTGGAGAGAATACCACTCGAGGAACTTTGGAAATTAACACCTATCGAAGATAACAGAGCGAAGGAGTGCTTATTTAACGCCGTCCGTGTCGCGGTGGACGTTGGTCTTATTTAAGGCAGTTACTGCGTGATGCCATCTCGCTTTAACCGTATCATAACTGTCATCTACTACCGAGATACCGCTTTGATAAGTGTATACCTGTTCATTTTGTGTCACTTCTTATAAATTTACATGAACTCGGACAACTCGTCTCTTAGCACTCAGATTATAACTAGTTCCACGTTCATACTAACGGCTTCATGTTGAATGGTCGTTACGAAGGCCCCGCAAATAGATTTGTATAGAAATTCCTACACAAAAACTTCTACATCTCCGTCCAGATAAGCTTTGGATGAGTCGGCAGTAAGTGGAATGTCCGGATTCGTGACCAATAGAGGGCCGAAAACTAATTGCAGACGAGACGTCGGCGTTTCACCCAACAATTCTAGATACATTTAACAGCAGAAAAAAATTAATTCTATATGAGTTTCGTACGTGCAATGGAATTGAAACGGTGTTTCAATCATTTTATAATATATATAATAGATTTAAAGCGTCTTAATATGTTGTATGAAGATTCGAACATTTTGATCCTTAATCAAAGTTAAAGTAAAACATTATTATGAAAATAATCTTAAAAAATACATTTCGAGTTTGGGCAATGAAAAATTAGCACGAGTAACGTGAATGTTTGAAATAGATTCAGCAAAGGCAGAAAGTCGAGGACACTAATGTTTGTATTAAAATTCCTATATATGGAAAATTTGAAACACGTGTCTATACATGAAGAAACTTAAGTATAAGTGTTGAATCGCTATTAGGAAGAAAGATGGCGCAGGTAAAAGCTAGTAGAAATATAAAATTGGTGGGTGAGATAAAAAAGAAATGTAAAATATAAAAGAGGATGGTGCATATACCATCCTCTTTGAATGTAAATGTGTTGATTTCGCCGTATTTATACATATATTTAAAACGATGCGAGGAGGGTCTGGGTATATTCCTTAAGTTAGCACTAGCGACATTGAATATGTGCATAAGATATTTTTATTATAACAACGTCAATAGCGTCACCCTTTGTTTCTAGAAAATTCGAATACTGCTATAAAAATGTATTTTGTATTGACATAATGCCAATAGAAACGGTAATTTGTTGCACGTTTGTCGTTTAGAAACCAAAAATGTTGCAACGGTTTTGCTTTCCAACATTTTTAGCAGGTTTTTTTTAATTTCATGATCAAGTTGGTGTGGTGGTCAATATGAAATATTTGATTTCAAGAGGTCTATTAATAAGACTAAGACATTATTATATGGCTTTCCAATATTATACCTTTAATTTGTTTTTACTGTCACATCAACAGGGTGGCCATTAACCTTGTTTTAAACATGCCCGTTGTATTAGTGTGTTTATTTTAAACGAAAGCAGTACTAGCAAGTGCGTTGTCACATTTAAATATTATAAAACAATGGGGATCAAATGGTAGAGGGCACGGAAAATAGGAAATTGAAATGTAAATATTAGTTGGTACCACTTCGTCTCAGCTGGTAGGTTACAATGGCAGCATTACAAACTCAACTACAATTATAGGTGAGAGAAACTGTAATTTATCATTAATTGGCATAAACTTGATAATTTCTCGAATTCTTTCTACTTACGAACTTCATTCGACAAACAAACTAAACAATAATGCCTAAGGAGGGAGATATTAAATGGTATTCAATTTCCCTATTCCGTACGTATTTGCAGTCGATTGACTTGCTTGTATTGCATATAAATATGTAACTGAATAATATCTTGTTAACGTGGCATGAAACCTCTAAGCTTCAATCGGCAGGGGATCTATCACAGCAAACATTGTCACCCAATGATGTTTCATAAGGTTCGATCTAAAAACGAATTCTAAGGTGGAAACGTGTCGATGTGTAGGCACGTGTGGGGATTTGAGATCAGTTTATACCGCACTCACGCCCGGTTTTTGAAAAACTGATCATCGTAGAAATTAACTAATCAGCAGTCAAATGGCTCCCCAAAAGCATTTAGCCAAAAGGATGGTTAAAACATTCAACAGCACAAAAACCATCCTTTTGGCCACTCAAATGACATTTGAGAAGCCATTTGACAGCTGATTATAGTTAATTTCTACGATGACCAGTGTTTCAGAAACCGGGCGTCAATGGTATATAAAAAATATTTGAAACGCATTCAAGTTTTTAAAATTTCCGTAATAGTATATTTTTTACCCTTAATTATTTATCTCCTTACTGTAAATTAACGTTTTAGTTATAAATTCATTCGTATTCAGCCACTAGTGTTCCATTGTTGAGTAAAGGCCTCGTTCCATTCCTAATTTATTCATTATATATCAAAATTCTAATCCTCTGCTTAAGTACAATATTCTTCTGTTTATTTTTAATATATTGTAATAATAATCAAAATACTTAAGAATAAACTATAAACATTAAACTGATTGCAGCGAACAAGTTTAAATATATTGCTTTTGAATTGATTGAAAACACTCACATACCATAGCTTGATATTAAAATCAACCTATTGTTTCCTAATTTTACAAATCAAATTAGCGGAAAACCCATGCATCGTCAGGTTAAAGGTGGCCGAATAAAAAACTAAACCACGATCTGTGATTGGACAAGGCTCTTAAAATTGTCCGAGGGCGCTTTATAAAGGAGATAAAGCTTTTAACACGGTAAGAAGAAAAAGTTGAAAACATTTTGTAAACAGGTTGTAAACGATCTGTTACAGAGATCTGGCGGAGAATCGCCGCATTCACAATGTTTCTAGATCGAAGTAAATTTGGAATGCTCAAGATTAATTTATGTAGATACAGTAAGAAAAAAGATCTGAATGGATATTTTAAAATAAACCTGTTTCCTTTCCAAATCAAACGCTGAATGGCCTATAGGAAATTAATGAGTATTATTACTTTAAGCAGATTCATTCAAGACTTTAACGGATGCATTCATAAGGAAAATCTTGTCAGTTCACTGCGAATGTAAAAATAGTTCTAAATAGAACGCTACTAAATTTTAGCGAAACTAGTTAACATGTACTTGGTAGTCTAGTATTTAGAATAAAACTTGGCTTTAACAATAGTAACAGTAAATAACGGGAACACATCATGACAACGCGTCGCTGCGGTTAGGCACGCCAGTGCTCGCTGGAGTAGACCTGAGCGCCGTATGAGATGACCGTGAAATCTGAGAGTGAACGAATGTTGTAAATCAACTGAATGGATTTTTTACTGTCACGTCGATGTGGTACCCATTAAAAACTTGTTTTTTATATAGTTCTTTGTGAGCATTACTTATTATAATACACGTAATAGTCCTCAGCCGTTTATATCTGTAATAATTGCACAACTTTTGCTTTTTTTAACCGACTAATTTTCATTTGATCTAAAATGGCAGTCACAAATGCAGAAATAAAGAAGAATTCATTCAGTGTAAATATTTTAATGTCAACATGATATATAAAAAATGTGCAATACAAAATATTTAACAAATAATATCACCACCAAAATAAAATGTATTCATCGTGTATTTCTAACTTGTGACTTAACCAGGCACTTAATAGTGGCACCTCATAACCCTACAATTTATAGCAGTTAAAGTTACACATAGCAAACATTCGAGTTTCGAAAGTTGTTTCTTGTCCTGGAATTTGTCCGCATCGCGGTTACCCTAGCGACATCTCAAAGCTCTTAACTTTTATCTAAAAGTCTCCGGCGCGCGCATCTTGTTTGTAATCGCCCCACTCAAAAAGTCGGGAACACGACATTAGAGCCTTTTAGTTTCTCCTCAAAGGCTAACGCAAACCTGAACGTTTGAGATACCGTGTACTTGTGATGTGATTTGTTAATAAAAATCTTAGGAATGTCGTGGTTGATATCTTACACGGTATTTTATGTACGCTTATGAATAACTAATAATAAACAAATCCTAGGCATTAAATACCTAAGATTTTCCGCGTTCATGTTGATGATACGATACCCGTTTGTTATTTCGCATCTTATTTTCACAGTTTAATTAGTAGGCATATAAGCCGATTCGAAAAACGGAAGATTAAAAAATACGCGTATAGACATCACGGCTTCCTCCATAAATATACATAATCTCCACGAACCACGAACGAGTTTGCTTTAATTATTGTCATTTTTTTACTATAATTACGCAGGCATCGTTCCGTTGATACCTCATTCAGATTAAGGTTACCTTCTAAAATGTCACCCAAGATAATCATCGGTGAAGTTGATACTTAACATTAAATATGTCCCTGCTCCACAATTTTGATCAAAAGATAATATCTGTATATTATTAAAATAAACAAAACGTTTCTTTAACGTAACAAATACTTTTTTGGTTCCTTGTGACGAAAACTTTTGAAACGTTGGATTTTGATAGCAACCCGAAATCGAAACATGAACGTTTCGATTATTATAGAAACGTTATTTATCCACCCACCAATAATTATTTTGTTTTGCCATTTGACACGTAATGTATTTACACACTTAGCGTCGTACTGTGGGTGTTCATTAGATATTATGACGCAGGTAACAGATTATGCTCAGGAGCCCACGTCGTATATATTGCCCAACAATTATACAATACCACTAAAGGAAAATCAATGTACGTTATCTCTGCCGAGAGAACGTTAAACGTCTTCTTTAAACATAACCTGCGTATTTCTCATTCAATCTCCCGTCCGTAGAAAATATGTAGATTATCTGTGAATTTTCTTGATGTTTTTTTTGTGTGAAAGATGGCGAGCGGACTCGCTGTTCTCTTATTATTATATCGGTACCGTGGCCTATGAAAAAAAACTACAGTATCCATTGAAGCTTCTTGGTTGCCAACTTTGATAACAGTAGGCCCGGTTAACTTATATACCAGATGAAACGCAAAGCTCAAATTTGCGCTCAACCTACATCCATCGATCTACATGCAGAACCTTATTGACATGAACAGGCAATAAAGCGTTCATGAACAGTATGGGTTGTGTGAATTTGAAAATCGAAAGGCAATAAAGACTTGTTCTAACTTTAATTTCGATACGTTAA